AGATATGCTCAATAGTATTTCAATACACGGGGTCACTTAGGAAGAATTTATTATACGATGAATTAGAATGAGGTTATTTGGAAAGTTTCAACTAAAAAAAACGTAAAAGATATACTCAATAGTAATTCAAGACACGGGATGAATTAGAATGAGATTATTTGGAAAGTTTCAACTAAAAAAAAACATAAAAGATATACTCAATAGTAATTCAAGAAACAGGGTTTATTTGGAAAATGTTTATTACAAGATGAATTGGAAGGGGCTAATTGAAAATATATAATGTTTAACACAATCATAAAATGTATGATTTTTGTGGACATATAAAATACTTGTATAATTTAATTTAATTACTCAATATTTTCAATAATACTTCAGTAAACGGGGTCGATTAGAAAGGGTTTAAGTACAAGGGAAAAGTTCTCCTACACCATAATCTTACACCACTTCCTACATTATTTACGAAGTTTTTGACACGTAGCCCCGACGAATTATAATGGGATGATTTGGAAAGGTCCAACTAAAACTATTAATTTTTAACACAAATATAAAATATATGATTTATGGCTACATGAAATGCGTGTATGATTTGTTTTAATTACTAAATATTCTCAATAATATTTCAAAAAAACGGGGTCAATTGGAAAGGGTTTATTACAAGGCAAAAAATCTTCTACACTATAATCATACACCACTTCCTACATCCTTTACAAGATTTTGGCACCGGGCCGAAACAGATTTATCCTAGGGCGGGTTAGGGTGTTAGTAAAATTTTTAAAAAATGAAAGAAGTAACTGAATAGAAAAATATTAAAAAATTATGTGGTCAATACTACTTTAATAAACGGGGTCACTTGAGAAGATATTTATACAAGATGACTTAGAAGGGATCATTGGAAATGTCTAATTAAATATAAATAATTTTTAACAAAAATATGAAAGTGTGACTTTTTATGACTGTATAAAATACATTTATCATTTGGAAAGTTTCAACTAAAAAAACACGTAAAAGATATACTCAATAGTAATTCACGAAACAGGGTTTATTTGGAAAGGGTTTATTACAAGATAAATTGGAAGAGGCTAATTGAAAATACATAATGTTGAATACAATCATTAAAAGTATGATTTTTGTAGACATATAAAATGCTTGTTTGATTTAATTTAATTACTCAATATTCTCAATAATATTTCAGTAAACGGGGTCGATTAAGAAGGGTATAAGTACAAGGCAAAAAATCTCCTACACTATAATCTTACATCACTTCCAACGTCATTTACGAAATTTTTGACATGTGGTCCCGACGAATTGGAACGGGATGATTTGGAAAGGTCCAACTAAACATATTAATTTTTAACACAAATATAAAAATATGATTTATGGCTATATGAAATGCGTGTATGATTTGTTTTAATTACTAAATATTCTCAATAATATTTCAAAAAAAAGGGTCAGTTGGAAAGGGTTTATTACAAGGCAAAAAATCTTCTACACTATAATCTTACACCAATTCCTACATCCTTTATCAGATTTTGGCACCGAGACGAAACGGGTTTATCCAAGGGTGGGTTAGGGTGTTAGTAAAATTTTTTAAAAAAGGAAACAAGTAATGAATAGAAAAATATAAAAAAATTATATGTTTAATACTACTTTAATAAACGGGATCACTTGAGAAGATATTTATACAATATCACATAGAACGGGATCAATTGGAAATGTCTAATTAAACATAAATAATTTTTAACAAAAATATGAAAGTGTGACTTTTTTATGACTGTATAAAATACATGTATCATTTGGAAAGTTTCAACTAAAAAAATGTAAAAGATATACTTAATAGTAATTCAAGAAACACGGTTTATTTGGGAAGGGTTTATTACAAGATGAATTAGAAGGCGTTAATTGAAAATACATAATGTTTACCACAATCATAAAATGTATGATTTTTATGGACATATAAAATGCTTGTGTGATTTAATTTAATTACTCAATATTCTCAATAATACTTAAGTAAACGGGGTCGATTAGGAACTGTTTAAAAGTACAAGGCAAAATATTTCCTACACCATAATCTTACACCACTTCCTACATCGTTTACAAAGTTTTTGATATGTGGGCCCTGACGAATTGGAACGGGATGATTTGGAAAGGTCCAATTAAAAATATTAATTTTTAACACAAATATAAAATATATGATTTATGGCTATATGAAATGCGTGTATAATTTGTTTTAATTACTAAATATTCTCAATAATATTTCAAGAAACGGGGTCAGCTGGAAAGAGTTCATTACAAGACAAAACAATCTTCTACACTATAATCTTACACAACTTCCTTCATCATTTACCAAGATTTTGGTACAGGGCCCCAACGGATTTTTCCAATGACAGGTTAGGATGTTGTAAAATTTTTAAAAAACGAAAGAAGTATCTGAATAGAAAAATATAAAAAAAAAATTATATGGTCAATACTGTTTTAATAAACTAGGTCACTTGAGAAGATATTTATTAGAACATGACTTAGAACGGGATCAATTGTGAATGTCTAATTAAACATAAATAATTTTTAACAAAAATATGAAAGTGTGACTTTTTATGACTATATAAAATACATGTATCATTTGTTTCAGGTACTAGATATACTCTATAATGCTTCAATAAATGGGATTACTTTGGAAGAGTTTAGTACAAGATGAACTAGAACGGGATCACTGGAAAATGTCGAACAAGTAAAAAATTTAAAACAAGTATAAAATGTATGGTTTTTAATGGTTATTTAAAATGCATATATTATTTATTTTAATTAAGAGATATGCTCAATAGTGTTTCAATAAATGAGGTCACTTGGTAAGAGTTTATTATAAGATGAATTGGGACGGTATGATTTGGAAAGGTCCAAATAAAAATAAATTTATTTTTCAAACAAATGTAAAATGTATGATTTTTCATTGTTATAAAAGAATAAATGTATGATTGGTTTCAAGTACGAGATATACACAATAATATATCAATAGGCGGAGTCGCTTAGAAAGAGTTTTTTATAAGAAGAATTGAAATAGGATATTTTGGAAATGTCTAACTAAAATTAAATATTTTTTTTACACAAATATAAAATGTACGACTTTTTATGGCTATATAAATACATATATAATTTGTTTCAATTACTAGATGCTTGATTGTACTTCAATAAGAAAAAGTCATTTGAGGAGGGTTTATTACAAGATGAATTGGAACGGGATGATTTGGAAAGGTACAACTAAGAATATTAATTTTAACACAAATATAAAATATATGATTTTCTTGCTATATGAAATGCGTGTATGATTTATTTTAATTACTAAATATTCTCAATTATATTTCAAAAAATGGGCTCAGTTGGAAAAGGTTTATTACAAAGCAAAAATTCTTCTACACTACTTCCTACTACCAAGATTTTGGTACTGGTTCCCAACGGGTTTATCAAAGGGCGGGTTAGGGTGTTAGTAAAATTTTTTAAAAAAGGAAAGGAATGATTAAGTAAAAAATTGTAAAAATATCATAGGTTAATAGTACTTCAATAAACGAGATCAGTTGAGAACGGTTTATTACAAGATAACTTGGAATAAGATCAATTGGAAATGTTCAATTAAAAATAAATAACTTTTAACGCATATATCAAATATATGATTTTATAACTATATAATACATGCATTATTTGTTCCAAATACTAGATATAATCAATAGTACTTCCATAAACGCGATCACTTGGGAATAGTTTATTACAAGATAAATTAAACGGGGTACTTAAAAAGAATTTATTACAAGATGAATTAGAAAGGGATCATTTGGAACAGTCCAATTAAGAAAAAATAATTTTTAACGCTAATAGAAAATGTATGATTTTTTATGGTTATATAAAATGAATGTATTATTTGTTTGAATTACAAGGTCTGATCAAAAGTAATTCGATAAACGGAATCACTTGGGAAGAGTTTGTTATAAGATGAATTGGAACGGGATCATTTAGAAAGGTTAACTAAAAATAAATAAGCTTTTCACTCAATTTAAAAATTTATGATTTTTTTTTACTATAAAAACTGCATGTATGATTTGTTTTATTTATTATATATGCTCAAGAGTACTTTAATATATAAACGAGATCTCTTTGGAATGGTTTATTAAAAGGTGAATTGGAACGAGATCATTTGGAAAGTTGTAACTAAAAATAATTAATTATTAATATAAATATGAAGTGTAGGACTTTTTATGACTATATAGAATGGATGTATGTTTTGTTTCAATTATTAGATAAATTAATATAACTAAAAATTATATAAAATTAGATCTACACCCCGCGTGCAACGCACAGGCCAGTACTAATAAAGCAATCATAACGTGGCAAAGGTTCCCTCGGAATTGATCCGGAATCCGTTTTATTCACGCGAGACTCATACTCTCACAGAAATTTTTATCTTTTATTATTTTTTCTTTAAATCCAGAGACATAAGCAACGAAAAAAATTTAAACTTTTTTCCCAAAAACAATATTTAAACTCGTACGATACACTTTATTTTTTAATTTTTAATTTTTATTTTGGTTACAATACGAGTATTTAAGTAGTGCTAAAAAAATTAGGTACTCCCTCTGTCCCATAATTATTGTCTTGTTTGAATTTTTATTTATAATTCAAATTGTACTAAAAGTGAAAGTCCAAACTGGACAATAATTATGGGACGGAGGGAGTATTAATTATTCTAGCTTAGGTGGAGCCTAAACAAATAAATATCAACGACTTCCTTTATCTAAATTCTAAAACCCATAATTATTCTAGCTTCAAACCATCACCGTTGACTCGGACTCTACAACGACGGGAAGCTAGAGTCAACCCTGGCAGCCAGCGAAGATCCATTGACGTTTTGTTTTTCTCCATCAACAGGCATCTGCGAGATCTGTCCGACTCAAGCCTCACCTTGAGCTCTCTTTTGGGTTTCTTTTCAAAATTTTACGTTGGCCAAGAATCAAGATATGGAAATCCCGAAAAAGGTAAAGGGAGTTTGATCGACGTAGCATAGAATTGAGAAGACTCCTCCGGGTATGCCTTTAGTTTCATCAGAAAAATTTCTTGTGAATAATTTGATTTGCGTCTGATTATGACAGGAGGTTTTAGAGAATTATGAAAATGGCTATGGCCATAGTAGTATGAACGGCACATTGAAGACTCCTATTCAGCCCAAAATCGAGAATTCCGAAAGTAAATTGCTTCCACAAACTTACTTGAAACATATTTTAGTCGCTTATCCTTATTGAAATTTCATACCATCAGGTGGCCTTTTGCTTCAGGTTCTTTTAATTTTGTCGAATTGGGTTGTATCCGGACAAGGAATAAAGTCATCTGCTGTGACTTCTCTTCTGATGGGAAATTTTTGGCTAGTGCTGGACATGATAAGAAGGTACAAATTGACACTTCTTGTGTCTTGTACATGAAATAGTATTCAGTAAATTCCTTTTATTTTTGTTTTTCCCTCTCATGTATCAGACTGTAATTTGGAATATGGAGACCCTGCAAACAGACACCACCCCTGAAGAAAACCAGTATGTGATCACAGATGTCAGGTTCAGACCTAACTCAACTCAGTTCGCAACTGCTTCATTTGACAAGTCTATCCGACTATGGGATGCAGCAAAGGTAAAATCTTTATGCCTGATCATTAACTTGGGGGCACTAATTTTGCTGTTACGCAATTTCTTTAAACCGATGATTATGTAGTTTTTTTTTTTTTTGCAGCCTGGGCATTGTTTGCACGCATACACAGCACACCCTTCACAAATTTTGTCCTTGGATTTCCACCCGAAAAAGAATGATGTGTTCTGTTTCTCTGACGCTAGCGATGAAGTTCGTTATTGGGACATTAATCCATTATCTTGTGCTCGGCTGTCCAAGGTTTCCCCTGTTTCTTTTGGCATACTAAACATTAATCTTTGAAGTTTGGAAGATATAGCAAAAAAACTAATGTTCATGTGGGGATTAGTAGCAAGCTGGCAGTGCGCACGTGAGATTTCAACCAATTACCGGCAAGCTACTTGCAGCAGCCTCGGATGAAATGGTGACAGTCTATGATGTTGAAAACGACCGGGAATCCCATTCTTTCCAGGTCTGCGTGTATTCGTTTGGTGGTTCTGTAGTAGGATACTTCAGTTCTAATTCTATTTTATTGCTGCATTGTGTTCTGTCTTACTTTTATTAAGTTTAACTGTTTTTTTTTTTAAAGGGGCATTCTGGTTTAATTAATTACTTGTCCTGGGATCATAATGGTGATTATTTGGCATCAGTGAGCGAAGATTCTGCAAGAGTTTGGTCACTAGCCTCAGGGGAATGTATTCATGAGCTCCGCTCCAATGGGGATCGTTTCCATTCTTGCCTTTTCCATCCAAATCATTCTGGTCTTTTGGTGATTGGAGGAGAGCGGGTAAGTAGTAGTACTTTTCAGTTATCTTCTGTTTTGCTAATTGTGAGAGTTGAGCATCTTTCCATTTTGAAGTGATTTTTTTCTTTTTTTTTTTTAAGCTTTACAATCTGTCTGCGTTGTAAAATCTCATGTGTAAAGGAAGTTTTTAACTTCGTAATTGGAATGTAATCAAGAAAGTGTTAGCTCAAATTAATAGGGCGAGAACAGTAACTCACCGCAGCTTCCAGAGTGAATGAATAAAACTCTGATTTTCAATAATCTGTCAGTGATGTTTGTTCAGAACGTGGAAATGTACGCATTTAGCATTTTAGTTTAGTTTACGCTTTAGTGAGTTGAAATTGACGCTGAAAAGTCCACCATAATATACTGTTATGCTAGGATCTTGTCGAACATGACAATCATCTTGTCAATAACGATTCAGAGGATTCGACCATGTTGCATCTTCTTAGTGCTCCCTTTGGATTGCCGGTCTAATAATTTAGCAAGAAAATTGTGGTGAAAATGATGTTCGAACGCTAGTTTCATAAGTAACGAATAATGATGGTTAGTATTAATACTTTGGGATTGTTTTATGAGAGAACTAAAGTCGTGTACTGCAAACACAACTTGTATACGGTGCATATAGCTTCAGTTCTATTAGAACATCATATTTTTTTACCTAAGATTTAATTATGTCAAAACAATGCATTAAACAAAATATTCGTCACAAACTGCTGTTGTAAACACTCAGAGAATGTAATTATAGCAATCTCATATATTGCTTTGGATGATATATGATCTAATATATGCAACCCGACAGAGTAATTGATGGTTTTGTGCTCTTTGATGAACGAGTTTGAATAATATTGCCTTGCTTTGATATATTTCATGTTGCAGAATTTGGCGCTCTGGAACATGGTTGAGCACAAACGTATTACTCTGGCAGCTCATGAGAGAATCATTGCTGCTGTGGCAAATTCAGCTGTTACAGGAATGATTGCTTCGGCAAGTCATGACTTCTCTGTCAAGTTATGGAAATAATTGGAATTTCCTATATATTTGAAGGAGGATCACTGCTGCAATAAGAAGAAGTTTACTATTTCTTCCTGATCAGGGACTTTCAAGAAATGATTATCTAGGAAGTTGTTTTTAATGCATTCATTTTACAGGAAAAAAAGAAAAAAAAAAAAGAAGTAAAGTTTCGACTCAAGTTATATGTCAGACGCCAATCGCAATCAAGCAGCAAAACCCGAAGAAGAATAATCAAGAACATTACACGTTTTTTTTTTTTTTTTTAAAAAAAAGGAGTTCTTTCCACCGTGGTAATTTGGAAGTTACATGATCGGAAAGAAAATTAAAATGAGATTAATTTGGAAGTTTCAATTGCGTATGAGTACCATAAGTCCTAAAAGAGTTAACGTAAGAACTGGTGGGCGAATGTAAGATGGAGTAGAACCGGAGTTGGGAGTGACCACTGGTCTAATGCGTGGATTTGTCACTGGTGTAGTGTCTGCCGGATTTGCCACCGGATCCGATGAAACTGCTTTTGTCGGGGCTTCAGTCGGTGCCGGACCCGGATCTGCTTCAGTCGGAGATAGAGCCGGAGCTGGAGATGCTGCAGGTGTTATTTGATTTGGGCTCTCTTCGGTTGGAGAAGGTGCAGCAACAGCAGCGGCTGCTTTAGAATCTGGAAGATGTTTAGGAAAAAATTAAACGAATATTTTGCTGTGTGGATTAAAATCCACAATTTATTGGTTGAATTTGAAATATCTGGGAAACCAATTGAAAATGGATATAAGCATACTTGCTTAATTTAAAAATTACATTATAGTTTAGTGTTGAAGATTTTCCCCTAAAATCAATTAGTACCTGCTTGATTTTTCGGAGAATTAGCAGCCGGAGCTGGAGCCAAAGTTGGCGCCCCAAAGATTATAGGACCTGTCAATGCAAAATTCAAACTTCTGTTAAGATGAGATCTGAAGTTGTACGTAATTATGCACTACCATTATTTTTCTTCTAATCCGTCTACTCAAAATGATGGTTTCTTTTGTTATACTGTTTTTATTGCAAGACGTATGTAGTATCAACTTTGACGCATGAACTTGTAGTTTTGGATGAAGACTTCTTCATGACCCTGAATTGGCAATGCTAAAACTTGATTAGTACCTGCTTGATTTTTCGGAGAATTAGCAACCGGAGCCGGAGCCGAAGGTGGCGCCCCGAAGATTATAGGACCTGTCAATGCAAAATTCAAACTTCTGTTAAGTTGAAATCAGAAGTTCTACGCAATTATGAGCTACCTTCATTTTCCTTACGATGTGATTAGTGTCTCTTACCAACCTGCTGTAATGGTCTAATACTCCAGGCAAATGCCTCCTTATTGTACCAAAAAAAAAAAATTGATGGTGGTTTTTGTCTATTGTATCGTTTTGTTACAATAAATAACTAGATGTTTGGCCCGGACATCTGTTTTATTTAATTTTATGTTAGTAGATAAATGAATTCTTTATTTTAAAAAAATAGCTACATATTTGGTTTTTTTCCTTTTTTAGCAAAAAATAAAAATAAAAATAAAAAAATCATCTGCCAAAGGAGAAAAAATATTGAGAAGTACAACGATGCAAAAATCATACAAAAGAATGTGGAGTAATAAAGGGGATAAGTTTATGGACAAATTTAAATACTATTTTAATTTGATTGATAAATGATAAATGTTAGGAGTTAAAATTATGTAACTATTTTTGTAAAGTAGCTTTTGTTTTTCCGGATAAGAATTTTTTTTCTTTTAAAAAGGGATGACACGTGGCAGAATGGTTAATGCAATATGGTGTATTTGGAGCCAAAAATTTTTAATAAGAAGTTGCCACATCAACATCATGTATTATGTTTTAATAGGGTAAAAGGGATACCCTCTTCAAAATAATAATAAAAATAAATAAGATAATAATTTTCCTGTAATATCAACTTTCACTCATGAAACTTGTAGTTTTAGGTGAAGACTTCCTCGTTTCTCTAAATTGGTAATGTTAAAGCTTGAATAAAAGGAAATGATCAAATGAATGCACATAAACAACAAAGGCAGAGAGAGATCGACCTGGAGCTGGCACCGGAACACCAGTAGCTGCCATTAAAAAAAAAAAAAAACCAAAAATAAATTAATCAATCGACGATATAAAAGAAAAAAGTAAATACTAGACGATAAATCATTAGTGTCCATGAAATAGTTTGTTAGTTTTTCTTACCTTTGCACCGTAATGGGATGCCCGAGTTGCATGCTTGGGGCAGCGAAATCGCCAATGGCCGACTAATAAACGGAATCGAAAACGGAACGTTCCCGTTTATGATGAGGCATGCACATTCGACGCTGCCGGACATGATAGATCTCACGGCGTCGCAGCAATCTCCGGACGGGGAACCACCGTTTGCGCTGCTTCCGGTGATGTAGTTCATGCACGGCGTGAAACTACTAATGGCTGCACTTGAACACGGCGTAGTAATTTGCCCTTCCGCCGCCTCATAATACGAGACAGCCAATAGAGTAACAATGGCTAATTTTACACCTACACTCATCCTAGAACTTTTTTTTTCCATGAGGAGTTTTTGATTCGTAGATGAATTTTCTTGATTAGTTCTGGATTACAAGACGAGCTGATTTTTGTGGGCTATTGGATTCAGGGGATTTATATTTATATGTGGATGGTTTAGGGAGATTTGGAGGGAAATTTTGGGGTACAACGTTCTGGAGCTCAACCACTTTAAACCAACTTTTGGAAGTTGGCAAAGCTTGATTGACTTGGGCATTGGAGATGGCTTATAATGTTGGTGTTTGAAGCGAATTAGTGATGCCTTAAAATGTTAGTTTTGACCTGAAGAATACTTCTGTCAGCGTACCATGAATTTTTTACTATACATCATTGTCACACTTGACTCCTGAGCATATGCAGATCTAGACTCTGGACTATTACAACGACAAAAACACCAATTTTTTCAGAATCTGCAGCATACTATTATTTGAAAACAGAGCACACGCTGTAAGAGCATTGTTATATCTGAACTAATTTTTTCTTTCTTTTTTTTTTTTTGGATGAGGAGAATGGAAATAACATGTTAAATCTGAGACCAAAAAGTAGCTGCTGCTCGATTGGAAATCCACCGTTACAATAAACACCAATCATTTTAGAGCTTCACGAAGAAGATATCTGAATGTATCTCTTTTCTTTTGTGTAGTTTTCAATTCTGTCTTTTCTTATGTTGGGCCGTTGGTGGAGCAAATGGTTGGAAATTTTAGTTTTTAAAATAAAATAATTAATTTAGAATTGAAGGATAAAATTAAGTTGGTAACCTTTCACATGCATAATAATTATTTCCTATAAGTCAATGATTGTGTACTTATTTTGTATTCTTTTATTTCTGCAAATGTTGCCTATAAATAGGTGATCTAGGGCAGGAATTCATTTTTTGCACTCCAAAATCCTGAAAAACATTCAATAAGTTGCAAATTACATTTTCTTGTGTGTTAAGTCCTAGAGACAAATTGCCATTCGAACCTTGTTTGCAATCTAGTGGGGCCAAATATTGTCTTAAGGGCAGTATTTGACACGCTTAGAACACTTTCAATTTTTTGTGAATTTCCTGTAGGCTCTGTTTGGTTGCATTGAATTGGGATCAAGAATTGAAATTAGAGCTCTCTAACTCCAATTTTTGTATTTGGTTGATAAAAATGGTAGTCTAAGAATTAGAATTATAATTCGTTTTGGGGTTCAATTCTTTATTTTTAATTCTTTTATAGGAGTAAATAATTCGAATTCAAATTTAAGGGACTTAAAGAAAGACGTGGGTCCAAACCGAATTTTTTTCGGATTATATCCTAAACGGGTCACCTCTCAATTTTTCGCCTTTTGACCTTGTTTTTTTAAAGAAGATATTTTAATTGTTTTTTTTCCAGCGCTAAAGCACTGCTTTTTTTTCCTTTTTCTTTTCTTTCTTTTTTTTTTTTTTGTGCTTTCAGCGCTTGCTTCGGAGTTTTTTTTTTATAATTTTTGTTTTTCTTTTTTGGGCTCTTTGTCTTATAATAATTATTACTACTATTATATCATCAATGAAATCAATCTAAAATAAACATTACATATTTTTGACAAAAAATATCAAAAGTATAACTGTACCCAAAAAAATTAACATAAATAAATATTCTAGTTTTGGGTTAAAATGTTATATTATATTATGACATAGTAAACAACATAAAATTTTCAAAAAAAAAATTAAAGAAATTGTTCCATATATACACCTATATTATTGTTATAATATATGTATATAAATTTTAAACTATATATGGCATCTTTTCACCAAAAATTATGTAACTTGAGTTTTAAGTATTTATTATTTTATATATAATTATATACTAAAAATAAAAAAAAAATGTAAGCATAAATTATATATTGATGTCAATCTATATATAAATGGACATTAATATTCATAAAATGAATTCACAATCTTACATGCTAAAATTTTTAAATTTTTTATATAAATAAAAATATCAAAAATTTAAACTTTAAAAAAAAGTAAAAGACAGGAAAAACAAGAATGTTTTATATGTTTTCCTCAAGAAAAAAAAAAGAATGTTTTGTATGTTACTTGTGTCTGTTAAGTGAAAATTCTATGTAACATATTTAATTCTTATATAATAATATTTCTTGTGTTTCTAATAAAAAGCTGTGTGCATAATAATTTAAAAAATTGATATAGCAAATTAAATAAAAAAAATATTTTTTTAAAAAAAAAAAAGCAAAAATTATACTAGTTGAACAACCACAAAGTAGTCTAATACACATTAAGTATAGATTGTAAGTTATATAATAACAAACTAATTTTAGTTCTAAAGTATCCAAATCTTTATGTATCCAAACGCAAGAATTAGTGTTATAACCTTAATTCTAGTCAATTTTCAAGATCTCCTAAACAAAGGAATTAGTATTGAGTTATAATTTCAATATTTCATTTTCAATTCAATAGTATTGTAATTCAAACTATTACATTTCCAATTCAATTACAATACAATATTGAATTTCAGATTCCATCAATAAAGTCTCTTTTCTCTATCTTTGTTCTTTGGTTCATTTTGTATTATTTCCATTGTTACCAACCCCGGGTTTATTTCACAAATAGTATCCCTTATCCTTAATTTCTCAAAATTAGGCCGTTCTTTGTACTGTTTTGATTCATCCGAATTTGTTTATGATGAACGAGGTTTGGAGGGTTTTGAGGAGACAAGTGCAAATTGGACATGATTGGGCTTTTCCTGATGAGACATTTTAAGCAAATGATGAAGTAACCTTGCCAGGCAACAGGTGTTGATAGATTTCATTTTGAGCAGGCGATGGTGGCTCAAGTTCAAAGACTTGAGCCCAAAACAAAACTGTCCTTTTAGAAAGTTTTCCCCAAACAATACCCTTTTCCTTTTTGGTCTATATTCTTTATATCAGTGTGCCATCTGGCTATTTGTTTTTCTGAAGTCTACTAGCCCATTTCTCTAATCAGGTTATGATGATCAAACTCCACAATGGCCCGCGTTCAAATTCAGTCGTAGATTTTTTGTTTTTTATTTTTAAAATTCAATTGTAGATTCAAATCTATATACTATACTAAGGCAAAAACCAGATAGAGAAAACTAAAGACATGGAGCACATGCCACATAAGATTTAATCTTATGTGGCATTTTTTTAATTTCCGAGACTTAAAAATGCACAAAACAAAATAATAATAAAAAAAAGCAACTGAAATAAATTTTTTTAAAAAATAATAATAAAAACCGAACCCTTATTTTCATGAACCAAATTCTAACAGAGAGGTTGATTGGAGAGAGTACCAAACGAACAAATGGGTTAGCAAAAAAAAAAAAAGAGATAATGTGAGAATGCATCGTATGTTAAAATAAAATAAAATAAAGCACTAAAAACATAAGTCACTTCAAGACAATTAATAAAGGTCCTGATAATTGATGAAAATGATGATGCCAATTCCATGATTACAAATGTAATCTACAAAGAAGTTTTACATGATATATAGAATTATAATCATTCAATTCGAAGTTCATTTTTTTCATTTTTTAATATTCTCTAGTTTGAATTTCTTAACAATCCTCCATGCGTTAAATAAATTATCATTATATTCATTTGATAAAGTGTTGTTGGTGTGTGTGTTTATATTTTTCAATGAAGTCATTACATATTTTATAAAAATACAAAATTTATATAAAAATGTCTATATGTACCTTCCCCGTCCATCAGACGGGTCTAACACCTAATTCAATAATAATAAAAATCCACCTAAGTAGAGCTAACTTGGGTCCATTCTCTAGAAACACGACATCCTTATCCGGGTCTATTTCATGGTAGATTATTTTCCTACATGCACTCATTGGTGTTTTGAACGTGTATAAGAGCAACCACAACACAGAGTAATTGATTCTTGAAAATAATGCCAGTTACTAGCCAATTTGAACTTTCCCATTGCAAATGGTGTAAAAGAAAATACTCGTTAACTAAGTTGTTTCTTCTCTCTCTACTGAAAAAAGTAAAAAAGAGTGGAGCTAAGACATGTTTTAAAAAAAGAAAGCGTGTACAAGTCTTGTAAGTGGTGGGATAGAAAAAGTTCATTTTCTTACCAAATTAGTAACTAGCGCTAGAACAAAAAATCGTTACTCGAATGTGTTAGAAAAATTGAGCTAGACTTGATTGGGACCGCTTTTTATATGTGTGCATTGAGGTTGCTCTAAGGGGTAATTAGTTATTACAGTGAAAATAGGCCTTCTGAGGAAGGAAGTACTGCAAGCCAGTAAGGGAGAGAGATTCCACTCCCTTGTGCTTTCTACTCAGTGTGTTAGATCCTCTTTGGCCGTCAATGGATTTGATTTGACCAGGTTGTTAGGCTTTGACAATTTACTTCCTTTGTAACTATTAACTTTCCACTTCAAATATAAGAATTGAACCTTTAATCTTACGATCAAGCGGGTGACGGCATAGCCATTAAGGCAAAAGTTGATTCTAATGATGATCGGGGGCGCTGATTCATTAAGTCCAATCATTACAGACAATCAAAACCTGATTAATTAATATCATGTACTGGATGTAATTGATATATTTCTAATTGCCATATTCAAGTGTGATTAGTTATCGAAGATACCAATTTAGTTCAGGAGTTGGCCAACCAGGCACCTAATGACCTAATAGGGAATCATATCTTCCATGAAGAATCCTATATATTCATTCTGTTCCTGATTTCCCTCCTCAACCAGTTTCAAACTTCCAAACACCTCATATTTCTTATAGCTTTCTGATCAAGAACATCACCAAGTACATTATCCACGATAATATATGGATTTCAAACGACCATCTAATCAGATCGGCCTAGCAGCATTAGTTCTTGTAATATGCTGGACTTCAGGGGCTTTAGCTCAGTCGGGCTGCACGACAGAGCTGGCAACCTTGTATCCTTGTCTGAATTATGTCTCCGGGAACTCATCGAGTCCCTCATCAACCTGCTGTTCACAGCTCGGCGCAGTGGTTCGGTCAAATCCACAATGTCTTTGCTTACTTCTGAATGGCGGCGCATCCTCCGTTGGCCTCAATGTCAATGAAACTCTGGCTCTTGAGCTGCCGGATAAGTGCAATGTGCAAACTCCTGGAGCTAGCAAATGCAATGGTATATTTCAAGCTTTTCTGATATTTTTCCTTTTGGATCAGATCAGATTTGATTCAAGAGATCGTATTCCCTAAATCATGGTTGATTTTGTAATTGATGACATTGGCAGGGAACGCACCAAGTTCCTCATCAACACCAGCAGCTTCCTCAAATCAAACACCTGGAACTTCAAATCAAACACCTGCATCTTCCACATCAACACCATCTGTAACAAATACTCCCGCAGGTAACAGATTATCCCACAAACCATATTCTTTCCTTCATTTGGAGGACAGAGTTTGATATGAATCTTAAAATGAAATGATGCAGGTTCAAAAACAGTACCCGCTGTAGATGGTTCTCCATCTGCTGGAAGCAGCGTCAAGGCATCATTCATTCTTGCCGGTTTCTTCCTCCTCGTAGCATTATATGGAACAGGAATTTGAGCATTGATTGGACAACAGATTCTGTGATGATTAGTACAACAAGGAGATATTGTGTGCCAGAAATGATCATGTTTATTATGCCAGTTTATTATTAGTAGTTATGGATTGTTTTATGAGATAACTAAGGTTGTATACAGCGAATACAATTTGTATGCGACGTATACAACTTCAGTTATGTTAAAACACCACTTTTTACTTGAGATTTCAGTATGCCCAAACATTGCATTCAACAAAATATTCATCACAAACTTTCGTTCCAACTTCCAAACACACTCAAAATATGTCTGTACAAATCTTATATTTTGCTTTGGATTATCCATGATCAAATATATATGCAAACGTGACAAATACTTGATGATTTATGTGTATATAACATCAACATGATTATAGATCGAGCTTGTCGACTCCGTCAATATTCCTCATCCAATAAGTTGTATCACAAAAGCCAAGCTGCACCTCGGGAATGTCCTCCATTATTCGTTCATGCATTTCCTTTTGGAGTCTCTAATGAAATCCTTGTAAAAAAAAAATCTCTAATAGTCTTTTTTAATATAACGGAAACGATAATTATTTTGGAGCAAAAAAGAATAAGTAACTTTAGAAAATTAGGACGCACGCAAAAGTCATCGAGTATGAGTTAAGCTTAGTCTTTGAAAAATGAAAATTAACAAAAACATCATTCTCCTTCATCTTATTGTAATAATTTATGTTGTTGAACAAAAATTAATACAATAAAATGAATTTTTTAGAAGAAAGAAAGTGAGTGAGATTCGTTGAAGGAAAAAGAATGGACCGATGTATATATATGTATGCACGATCATATGAAACTTGTTTACTCCATCCATCCAAGAAGAAGGTTGTATTTGTTGAAATAATCTAATAAACATGATTTTTTAAAAAGAAAAATGGTGGAAACATTAGAGAAGGTAAAAGTGATTTGACCCAATCATGTTAATCAGAATTATTAATAATATAAACCCCATAATAAAACCATATATATTGCTTAATTGTTCGAGTAATTTCTGAGAGTAGGTAAATGTGATCTTATTCAGATAATCATATAGCATGTAGGCTATAACAGCTCTTCTTTTTTTTTTTTTCCTTTTTTTTTTCCTTTGTGATTAGTCATTATTTCGTACATTTTTTTTGTACAATAAAAGAAAATAAAAACATAGAAAGATTTAAGTTATTACATTGCATAGGTAGAAAAAATTTTGATCAAATCGTATTCCAATTACAGACGATGCATCGTTAAATCACAACAAGCCTGTAGGACAAGTAATGGCAGGATGCCAAATAATCCGCCGAATTCGTAACCAAGTAATGGAGAGAATGTCGTAGCTAAATGCTCAGTCTCTTTGTAACAATTTCCAATATCAAGCCTCTGTGAATGCAAGCGACTCGTAACCATTTCGTACATTAATAAGCCGTAAGATTGCTCTAAACTGGAGATGTGAAAAGACAAGTCTTCTTAAAGTAGATAGCGCTTGGGGCAAAAAAATCTATACATATTAGTTCATCAGTTTTGCTTCACCGTGATATTGACATGGTCATGGTGTGTAATTGGCAAAAAATATAGGATATTAGTCGTTTTATTATATATGGCTTCCATATTCCAATCAATTGAAGAAAGAAGAATTTTGTTAATTGAAGCTAGTTGATTCGTTAGATAATCTACTTCCTAATGACAAAATCTACTCAGTTGTATGGTACAACTAAAAGTCACCAAATACAAATATTCTTTTAGCCCAAATCAGTTCATTACACATAACCCCTTGTCACGACAATAACAGCGTACTACTTTCCTAAATGCACAAATCCAGGACGTCACTTTCCTGAAACCCTTCTTTACTTGAGCTTCTTTTCCTTCATTTTCCAAATCATCAGTTAGTTAAAAGTAGGATACCATATTTAATCAAAAGTTGGCCAACCGAAATTACCAATCAACACCGGATTCTCCTCAGATCACTCGTATAAATAACGGTCGTTCTTTCGGTTCAAACCATCGCTCAAAAATCGATCAATTACCTAGCAAATTAAACTAATTCTTGAGATTCAATTTTTCTGAGAAAGAACTAAATCATTCATTTGAAAAATGGCTTCAAAGAGTACATTGATCTGCTTTGCTCTGGGTGTTTTCTTGATCATGTGCATCAAGGACGCAAAAGCTCAATCGGGTTGCAGCAGTTCTCTGATGGGTCTGGCTCCCTGCCTGAGTTATGTCACCGGAAATTCATCGGCGCCGTCTCCGACTTGTTGCTCCCAGCTCGCATCTGTGGTTCAATCCGCACCCGCTTGCCTTTGTTCTTTCACCAGTGGAAATTCCATGGGATTTGCCATTAATCAAACTCTCGCTCTTGCTCTTCCTCAAGCCTGCAACATCCAAACTCCTCCCGTTAGCCAATGCGATGGTAAGTTCCAAATCTTAAAAAAAAAAAAAAATTGACTTCAATATTATTGATAAAAGTTCGATCACAGTGACTAATGTGTAAATCGCTCATTGTGATTCCGTCACAAATATTAAAATTAATAAATGGAATGGAATTTAATTGCAGCTGGAACAAATGGACCAGCAAGTTCCCCTGCAGCATCGCCTTCCCCTGTTCCAGCAGCTTCGCCAGAGAGTCCTTCAGATGATGCTTCTAACCCAAATACAGCTACTCAAACTCCGGCCACCACAACTCCAACTCTTCCCGGTACGAAACATGAACATTCAGATTGAAAATCTTTTTTAAGAATTCAGAATTACAAAAAATAAAAAATAAAAATAAAAAATCGTGAAATTAACGAGTTGAATGATTTGGAATTTTGCAGGTGGATCATCAAAGACTACCCCGACAGGCACAAATGATGGAAACCTTAAGAAGCCAGCCTTTTACCTGTTTTTCGTTGCAATGGGTTCAATCCTTGCCAGTTTTTGAGTAATTCGTGATTGAAGAAGAGTCTACTTTTTGGTTGTAAAATTCTTATTGTTACAATTATTTGTTTTGTCTCGATGCCCTTGAGGCCTATTATTTTTCTAGTGGTAATTGCTGCGTTGATGTATTCATACATTGTTGTTTGTTGAATGAATACCAGAGGGTTTTTTTTTTTTATTTTTTTTCTTTTAGTATTTTTGTTCATTTTTATCACTCGTTCCTCTTGAATTAAGCTACCATATTATCATACCCAGATGTCACAAAATAGCATAGTAATCTAACCGGTACATAAAACGTAAGATGATCGACAATTATTATTGAAATTAACGTCACCAATTGCGCGGTACTTAGTAAAACGATTTTTGAGATTCCTTTTAATATTTGACAATCGACGGTCAGAATATACCAACATATTGAAATGCTACAGAGGCACTAAAACCACCATAGCGTATAAATGTTGTACCCAAGCTTTAGGTTCGTGTGCTTACTTCGCTTAAGCTTTTCTCCCCATATTTTCACACTATATATAAGTATTTTTCAGACATTTTACCACACATTTGCAAGCAAGTGAAGCGGAACAAAGAATGTACAACTTTGTTTAACATGTAATTTTTTATTGGGACAAATATATATGATTATATGTATACTTTGTTAATTAAAGAAAATATTCCCTCCGTCCTACAAAAATAGTCCAGTTTGATTAAAAAAAAAATCTCTCACAAAAATACTCCAGTTTTCAAAAAGTCAAAATTGAGCTACATAAAATGACTTAAATGTCCTTTTTTATAAAGGGATTGACTAATGAGGACAAAACCAAACTATATAATCTATGGAATACTGCCCACCCCGTCGCCGTCGGTGTAATCTCCATTGTTCTTACTTCACTTTTTGTTAGACGATTCAAAATAGTTTAGTTTGCTTATATGGCTTTTCGACGACACATAATCAACGATAACCCAACTTTCAAAGTGCGAATGCTGCTGAATTCTTCAAATCTTCGATCCGACCCGCAAATCACGATGAGTCCGACGAGATCCATTCTCCGGTCGTCAAATAACTCCCGCTGCTTCAGAACTTCCATCACCTCCCTGAATACTGCTCACAATCTCCATCGTTTCAATCTCCTTCCTTAGTCGCCTGTAACTGGACCAGTCCAAACAGATCTTGGCACGACAGATGCAGATGAAAGCTCATGATCGGAGTTAATTAATAGTCGCCGATTGATAATGATGTTGATGATGAAGGAACAGTCTACCGGCGGCAGATGGAGAACTCTAGGCTGACGGCTCCTTTGGATAACTATGGCTATGGGTCTGCTTTTTTTTTCTTTTTCTTTAGAATAAGGGTAAAAGTGAAAGTTCAAAGAATAAAATGAGTTGTACATTATTGGGATTATCTAAATTAGAAAAGGCGTACTATTTTTGCGGAACGGAGGGAATAATTATATTTTTCTAATTTTCTTCGTATTTCTTCACTGGAACTAAGATCTTTCAAACATTTTTGTACACACATTTGTTGATTTGCATGTTTTTCAAAAGTGCTCAGAGAAACAAATCAGTATAGGAAAATGATATATATAGTGAAAAAAATAATGATAAAATATAGTGATTTATGTGGAGTAATTACAGCCTCTTATTTTTTAGTTACTTAACCGTTGAATTTATAAGTTTTCCATAAAATTATATTTATCCTTAATTAACAAGTAATAATATATTTAGTAAGTGTGGTGTACTTGTCTTTTCGTTAGTCACTATACATTTTCACTATAATTAGTCACTATCTCTATCATTGCTTTTATGTATATATTGTTCAACATTGGAAAATATTTCAAACAAGGTATATACAATTTTGTAATTATAAAAAAATTTATATTTTTCCCGCATTTGAAAAGTAAATTATTAAGTCTTTTAAAACACACACATTTGAATGTTACAGAAAAGTGCTAAGCGAAAAAAGTATGTATAAAATATATTTATGTTTTTCTCCTTATCTTTAAGCTAAATATAAGTTTTTCCAACATTTTTATACAGACTAGCTTGCACACAGTGGTGGTGCCAGGAACTCAATGGAGAGGGTGCAAAATTTAGAAAAAATTATTAATTATCAAGAACTCAATATAGAGAGTGCAAAAATTATACAACACATAATTTTCTATTAAAATTTAAGATACCTTTACTAATTACAAAAAATTGAAGAGGTGCAACCCCAATCCTCCATCCTTCTAGCTCCGCCATTGCTGACACAGGTTTCTGTTTGTCCTTTAATTCACGAACAGCAAGTTAACAAGTTAACAATTGTATGACCATCATATAATTCACTCATTAAACAAATTTGTCCAAAAATCAAACCCAAAAAATAAATCATTATATATATAAATATATATATATTAAAGGAAAGAAAAATAATCGACACGTGTCGCTCATTGAGACCATCAAACCTCAATTAACACGTGTCATTTGCTAATTGGTTGATCATTAATCAGTTAAAATTTTTTGTAAACAGTTAATAAATTATTTACTATATAAGATTTTTACAGATATTACAAATTCCTGATTGTGAGTTTAAAAATGAATATTTTCAAAAATTACTGAGAAACTCCTGACTTCATAAGTTCTTTCATTTACGAGTTTAAACTTTCAACCTATTAACATTTTGGCCCTTAAAGTTCCATTTGTGTGCTACTTAGTCTTCAAGTTTATCGATTTTACATTTTCAAAGACGATTAGTTGTGTCTCATATTTTATTAGAACTACATCTAATCCCCCAAAGTCCCCTTGCCTATAAATAAGCCATAGGCATCTAGACATAATTTACGTATTTTTTAAATATATATTTTAATCCAAACATAACATTAGTTAGTGGCGACAATTTTTATTATACAACTTTTGAAAATCTTTGTTGTAATATTTTTGACCAGATCTTACAAATATACCTCTCATAAATAATATCAATACCTCTCATTTTGATCTAAAACTGATTAATCAAAAAAATATTACAGTTTTAAGAAATATTAGTAACTATTTTTTTAAAGAGAACTAGGACGATATTTTTATAACTACATAATCTAATTAATTCTTTTGAAAAATAAATTTTCAACATTGATAAACCTGCGCACACACACTGTAATAATAATAATAATAATGCAATGTTTGTGACTATGAATCCCAAATCAATTGGAACGAGACAAATTTGTTGTAGCAGCTAATTGATTGGTTAGGATCATTAGACTATCTACTTCGTTAAGTGACAAAATTTATTCAGTAGGGAAGGTACAACTACGAATCACCAAATCCATATTTTACTGTCCAAAATCCTAATCATTTCCTTGCGCACTTACACATAATCCCTGTCCCCGATAACGGCCTATTTCTAATAACATGCACTAAATTAACATAGTTTTAACTAACTTTTTAAGAAATATATCGTTAAATTTTTCAACATTAAAAATCAGTTCAGTTAAATAGGATGCCTTATTTTATCAAAGGAGTTGGCTAACTAAATTACCAATCCTGTAACATTCTGTTCTATTCAGATCACCACTATAAATAACCATTGCCTTTCACAATTCAATGCGCCATTGCAAATTGATCATCTCATTTTTTTCATAACTTCTCAATTACTAGAAGCAATTGAAACCACTTTCTTCAATATGGCACCAAAAAGTTTAGTGATGTGTTTGGCTTTAGTTCTGGTCTTGATGATATGTATCAATGCAAGAGCTCAATCACCTTGCATCAATACATTAAGGGGTTTGGGTCCCTGCCTGAGTTATGTCAACGGGACTTCATCGACACCATCTCCGATGTGTTGCTCGCAGCTTGCCGTGGTGGTTCAATCTGCGCCGACTTGCCTTTGTCCTTTCATGACCGGAACTGGTCCTTACGCCGGTGTCTTTATCAATCAAACTCTTGCCCTTGCTCTTCCTCAGACTTGCAACATCCAAACTCCTCCTGCTAGCATATGCAACGGTAAGTCGCACGTCCCTGGGGATTTTTGTATTAAAAGTGAAAATTTAAATTGAAACAATTATTATAGAATAGAGAACGTATTAAAAATCAAATATATTAGTTAGTTAATCAACAAAAAGTTGTCTGAGTAGTGGGAGGATTAGGTGGAGAATTATAATCATTGAGATATTGGTATCAAATCAACAAATGAATCAATTAGAAGAGGGTACTTTCTAAAATAGAGGATGGTCTAATTTGTAACAAATTATTGTTCTTATCCTGTCACATCTACAATGTAACATTAAGGATTAACCTATATTGAACAAAATTTGATTGCAGCTGTGGCTAACGATCCAGCAACTTCCCCGGCACCATCGCCTTCCGTTGCGCCGGCAGTCTCTCCAGCAGTTTTTCCTGAGAGTCCTACTCCTGCAGCAGCCGCTTCCAACCCAGAACCACTAACTCCAACTACTTCGGCCACCACGACTTCAAGTCCGGCCATCACAACTCCAACTCTTCCTGGTACGTACAACACATAAATCAGATTAGATATTTTTGTTTTCTTTGAGTGACCTATACTAGTGAAAAAAAATAAGAACAGAAGTAAATGTAAATATTAACAAGTTGAATGCAATACTACTTTGCAGGTGGAGCATCAAAGACAGTCCCAACAAGCACAAATGAGGGAAACCTTAGGAAGCCAGCTTTTTTCATCTTTCTGGTTGCACTGGCTTCATTTCTTGCCAATTTTTGAGCTGCGGATTTGACACACCTATCATTTCTTATTTTTAATGATTAATTAGTTCCTCTTGTAAACTCATTTCTATTTTTTCGTTTTTGGGTCTCCGGGACCTGGACTTGATGGCTCTATAATTTTCCTTTTTGTTGAGGACGCTTGCATGTACTCCTACACATTTCATTTTCTCACAATGAAATAATATTGTTACACCTTTATTCGCGTTACTTATACTTTCTTCTAGAAGTAGAAAACAGCATCATAAAGTCTCAACAGAGGTAGTAACTTATAAAGGTTTTTCACATATTTTTGAGCAACTCACTGTTCCGTGTTGAGATGATTGGATGTAGATAGGATCCAAAACCACCACAAAGGCCAAAAACAATTGCTGAAACTTATCTATTCACAGACCAATTAAATTAGATTTGGACTACTCACCTTACAACTATGGTGCCTGGTTCAATTAACTTCTCGAAATTATTTTATGTCATAATTGTTAGTGATTATCTCAAGTCTCAACCACAAGAAAACTGATGTGTATATATGTAATCATTCCAAACATGATCAGCTTAAGCAAATATAAAATTATTATCCATTTTTATTTGAACTCACTTACTTGTTGCTATTTGTGCATTTACGAGGTCAGGGTCCACGAAGAGCGTGAAATTCACCAAGCCCTTTTAGCGAAATTAGATATTGAGGCCTATACAATTTAAATGATCGAGCAGGCAATTTTGCAACAAAATTTCAGTATACATTCTTATAATAATTGTGTTTAAATGGCAATTTGATAAGCTGGGAACATCAAATTACCAATTAGGTTGATTCAAAAAAAAAAATTAAAAATTACCAATTAGTTAGGCACGGTGTGTTTGTCAACCTTCTAATCAAGGGTGTGCACGATCCTGATGGTCCAGTTTTTAGCCAAAACCGTTTGAAAAATTTTGAATCCGAAACCAAACCATTAGGGAGTTAAAAATCGGACCAAACTAATCCGTTATCAACAGTCCGGTTTCTACGGTTTTAGTTTCACTTTGGATTTTTATTTATTATTTTTTTTTGGCCAAAACTTGGACTTTTTTTTTTTTTTCTTTTGGGCAAAAATAGAGTTTTTTTTAGTTGCAACAAAAAGAATATAACTTTATACTACTAATTATAATTTAACACCACACAAATCTCTAATTAAAATTAAACAACATCCCAAATGTTAACCAAAAAGAAAAAAATGAGAAATGAAACTTCAAATTCAATTAAAAAAAACTCCTTAAAATAAAAAAAAAAAACAAGAAGGAAAAAAAAGGAAACAAAAAAGGGGGCTGTGAGATTCGAACCTGGGATTATTCACATTTTAAAATATATATAATTAATATATATAATAATATAAACAGTCCAATTTGGTTTGAATGACGGTTTTAGGATATTAAACCATAAATCGGACCGTACTTTCCAGTTTCTAAAATTTAAATTTGTCGGTTTTAAAATAAAGTTATAAAACTGAACCAAAGACTGGGTTGACCCAACCCATACACACCCTACTTCTAACACCGAATTTTCCCAACCATCGAAAGAATACGCAACAGGCCTAAATCTGAAAAGAAAGTCAGCTAATCGCATGCTCGAACCAGGACATTTCGTTTGTGTTTTTAATTTTTCTTTAGAGATACATTTTTCAGGTTGACCATGAGGCACCATAGTTTTGGTTTCCGATAGCTGGAAAAAAAGAAAAGAAAAAATAAATGGGAATCGTGACAACTTAATGTACCCCAAAATCCTAACTGGAACCAGCTTGCATGATGAACATTACCCCCTACCAAATCAACTAGGAAAATAACCCCTCTCCTTCAGGTGTGTGATTACTATACCCCGAAAGGTCTTGGGTTTTGGCCCGTTTCACACGACGACAAAATTTATACAAAATTATTCAAATGTGTAACATAGAACGTAATAAGAAAATAGAACAAATGATCCCATTTCATTAACTCAGAAACGTACCAATTCCCAGCTTAATTTGCTAATTCACACTAATTTTTTTACCTTTAAGCAAGGAAAAAAATTAAACATGCCCACAAATACAACTAATGGCACGAAACTAATTAATACTAGTATCCAACTTAAAAAAAAAAAAAAAAAGAATGATGAAAACATGTTAGGATCTCAATAGATGATCATCGAGTTTCCTCTTACATATTTCAACACAAAAAATAAATACTTTTTTCCTTCTGGAATGATTATCCAATTTAAATTTTTGTATTTAGTTGAAATCGTATTAAAAAATAAAGATTTAATATGAATATATATTTTTGGACGAATGGGAGTATCAAATTTGGAAACTACGACCCCCAAAAAAAAAAAAAAAAAGTCAAGCAGGAAGACACGTGTTTTTGGAGACTCTAACCCCCAGTTTGTTTTTCCAAACATACAAAATTACCCACGGAGAGAAGCATGGAATATCCGCATCCTCATCTCTCTTAATTGCTGTACTAATTAAAACTCTTTATTCTAAAACTAAAATACTATTTGGTTGGTATCTTAGGTTTAACGCCACTCCCCAATCCCCATTTTCACGTTCCTTCAAATTATTCTGCTTGTTTCAATTTTTCATTTCAAAATTTTTTATTAATAACTGTCCCATCTAAATATACATTTTTATATTTTCGATACATTTTTTTACAATTTTTCTTAAAAAAGTATTTTTTTTGAAAAATTATTACTAATGATCAAAATTAAATTAAGATAATAAAATTAAAAAAAAAAAAAGATAAGAAAGAAACTAAAGAGAGATACAAGTGAGGAGAAAGGGAGAAGAAGAAGAAGAACAAAAGGCCTAACGCATACTTTTCCCCATTTCATAATATTTCATTCTAGAACAAAAGGATAGCTTAATTACCGTGTATTCCTCTCGCTCTTCTTTTGTTTCTTTGCAGGTAAATTTCACTTTCTCTTCTTCTTCTTCCTATCTCTCCCAATTATTCTGTTTTGTTTGAAATCTCGTTCGTTTTGGAAATTCAATTTATATTTTTTAGATTCAATTCTGGAACCTCTTTTTTTTTTTTTTCCCTGTGTCAGAAACGAATTGCCATTTTTTTGTGTCGAGTTGAAGGTCGGTTTATCGCCTGTAATTTTGGAATGTAAAGTAGCAGAGTTTACTCTCATTTCTCTCTGTTTCTTTAGGGCTAAGTGCATTTGTTTTGAATCGCCTTTGGACTTTTCGTCTGCACCCTGCACTTGTATTGGAATTCTGTTTTTTTTTTTTTCCTTTATTTTTGTTTTGCGCTGCTTGATTGCAAAGATATAGATAGTGGAGTTCTGAGTGAATTTTGAATTCGCTTGCTATATGATTCTGTGTAGCCATGTTTTAAATTTATGTCCCAAGCATGTCGAATTTTTTTTCTTTGATCTTTGATTGGTTTTACCGAGTTTTTTCTTTTTTTTTTCTTTGGTCGTGGTAGTGTTCTGTCAATCCGGTAAAAACTGTGTGCTGATGATTTTAACTGCTGTTTCGAGATATTTTCCCGCTGGATTTTGGTTGAGCTGTACTGATTTATTGTTTATTTCTTTAGTTTCAGAGCTTACCACGAGATCACGATGCCAGAGTAGAAATTTGATAATTTTTGTTGCTTTTTTCGACACTGAGAAGTTTGAAATTTCCTTTATGCAAGTTCTAAAGCATAGGATTAGTGGACAACAGCTGTTCTCTTAGATTACTTTAACTTCGTGGTTTTCATTGGTGGAACTAATTGTGTTTTTATCAGTTTTTGCTGCTCGAATTGAACCGTCACGGTGTGAAAATGCTTTAGCGTGTCATTTTGTGGGATGTTGCAATGCTCTTTAGACATTTAGCAAAATTGTTTTGGCTCTTGAAATGTTATAGTCTGTTTGGAGTAATTGATGATCCACATTGAAAGGGGAATACTTGTACTGTACCCGGTAAATGTGGTGTATCTTTTTGGTATTCCCTATCTTTTTAGTTGTCCATTGTTAAACCTCGTGATGTTTAGTATTTTACAAAATGAAAAGAGACGAAACTTTTTCTTCACTATTTGGGAGAAATTTTTGGTAATCTCTGCTGAATGACATGGAATCTCATTCTCTAATAAATCTCACTAGTAAATGATTTATGGCAGGCCTTGTACAAGTTGAATTTTTGATGTTTAATGGGCATTAGGATAAAATTGGAATAAGATTCAGATGCCTTAAAGCCATATGGCCGGTCCATTGTCGTGTCTTTGAGTGTTGCTTTTTCTTTTCCTTTTTTCCTCCTAAAAGATAAGAGAGTTCTCGCTTAGATCAACGCTTTTTTACTACTCGAGATAAGCGTGGCTAGAACGGTGCCGAAACCAACTATGAGCTGGATGCCATTTCATGTTTTGGTATTTTGTGAACTTGCAGTCGGTGCATTAATGGAAAAGACTCTATAAGACGTGAATAAATAGAGTTCCTGGTTATTCTTTCTACCAACTATGCCTCCTAGCCGCTTCCTTCCATTTTAGCTTTCTACATTTCTCTCTTTTGAATATCATTGGAATTCTCAACAGATCAGAAGCTTGCTTGGTTGTGTCTTGAATATACAGTTTTGAGTAATCTGGTGAGCAGATCTGATCTTCATTATTTTTTTCCCCTGATTATTTTGCTGGCTGTCTTTGATTTTCTTGTGAACAAAAGTTCAATATGTTTCTTATTTATGATTCTGTGTTTGTGGACAGTTATCGGTGTTATATCTCCAAATTGTCAACATATTCTAAAGGGCCTTAATTTTTTTTCCTTTTTCAGAAAAGCAAATTGTGAGACTGCCTTTCTTAAGCTTCTTCAATTTCCTTTTTCCATTGGTGCATCGAATTTGCTGTTTTGTTTTTCTGTCAATTCCTGCGTTGAGGAGGGTGAGTGGGATCGTAACTGTTTACTGTGAATTGTATACATACTACAGGTATTTATGAGAAAGTACCATTAGAAACATTATGTTGGTGGCTCATTTTTTCTTTGATTTCACAATTCCATGTAACTTCGTTTTAGGGGAGAAGGATTTTATCAAAATGGGATACACGAATTGCAAATCATGAATCCTGTTCTTCCGTGATGTAACTTTAAATCTGCGAATTTGCTTAAGTGATCTAGAATTATGTGTAGAGCTATTTGTTTAGTGTGAATTGATTCTGGTTTAACTTTGTTGTTTATAATGACAACTAATTGGATTGTTGTATTCTTGTTATCTATTACCACGCTGAGAAGATACGCTAGAATAATAAATTGAGTTGGGTATGCTGGATATTGAGTGACTTTTTTCTCTTTCCTTGCTTGCTTCTGACATTACTTTGTATTGCTTGGGTCAAACCTGAAATAGAGTGTTGCTTCTCTTTTTGGATCAGTGTGATCCATCAGTAACTGTCTTAAGATGCTTACTTTGAAACTTTTTGGAAGATGGACAAATTTAGCTGTCCTATATATATGTTTGCCACAATTCTGTCATGTAACATGTGGATCTGATTTGAACTGAAATTTATAATCCTGAGGTTAATGACTTCCTCGAATACACATCTGAGTGTTCGTATGATTTTTGTTTTCCAGAGTGACAAATCATCATTATCCAGAGGAAAGCTGAATTGCATGCTACTGTTTCAGTAATGTCTGGACTTATTGAAGGTCTTCCTGATGCTGTTGCAATGAGGTGTCTAGCACGTGTTCCCTTCCACCTCCATCCCAAGCTGCAACTTGTTTCCCGCTCCTGGCGAGATGCTTTCCGGAGTACCGAACTATTCAAAGCTCGAGAGGAAGTGAACTCATGCGAGGAGTTTTTATGCGTCTGTGCGTTCGAGCCAGACAATTTATGGCAACTTTATGACCCGTTGCATGACCTTTGGATCACTCTTCCAACACTCCCATCAACAATAAGACATCTTGCTCATTTTGGTGTTGTCTCCACTGCGAGGAAGTTGTTTGTTCTAGGTGGTGGGAGTGATGCTGTGGATCCTCAGACTGGTGATCAAGATGGAAGTTTCGCTACTAATGAAGTCTGGTCATACAATCCTGTCTCCAGGGCGTGGAAGCAATGTGCACCCATGCTTGTTCCTCGTGCAATGTTCGCGTGCTGTGTGTTTGATGGGAAAATTGTTGTTGCAGGGGGTTTCACAAGTTGCAGGAAATCAATATCCAAAGCAGAAATATATGATCCAGAGAAGGATGTTTGGGTGTCAATTCCTGATCTGCACTATACTCATAATTCTGCATGCTCAGGGGTAGTGATTGGAGGTAAGGTTCATGTCATGCACAAGGGTTTGTCAGCTGTGCAGGTACTAGAAAGCTTAAAGCAAGGTTGGACAGTTCGTGATTATCGATGGGTTCAAGGTCCCATGACAGTTGTGAAGGGAAAGATTTATGTATTGAGTCATGGCCATGGACTCATCTACAAGCTGGAAGGTGAATCAATGAAGATAGTAGTCTCAGCATCAGAATTCCGCCAGAGAATTGGGCTTGCCATGATTGGTGTGGCCGGGGATATTTATGTGATCGGAGGGGTAATTATCGGCCCGGAGAGGTGGAATTGGGACATAAAGAAGATGTCTGATGTCGATGTCTTGACACTAGGAGGCGAAAGGCCAGTTTGGCGGCAGGTGTCTCCTATGACGATGTGCAGGGGAACCATCCTTGGCTGTACACAGCTGAGAATCTAGTTTGTTCCCGGAAGTATGAGTGATGGTTGTTTAATTAGATCAGATTTTGCTGTGAAGCAAAGTTTGGGGTTTCACTAGTCCTGTTGTTGAATGTAATGTTTACTTGCTTTCTGTTGAATCTGTTGATATGGTGCTGCCTGGTCGATTTTTTTTTATCGAGGTTCTACCGCTGCAACAGATCACATTTGAGTCATTGTTATAGTTTATAATGCAATTTCTTAGGAGAATTATGCTGCTGTTAGTGTTAGATAATTTGGCTCCCTGTAAAAGCTGGCCTTTCTTCTGTATCTCAATTGATGCACATCAGTAATGAGCTCGAAAAAGAATCAGACGAGAGATTAAAAAACTGCAAGCAAACAATTTGTAATAAAGATTAACTATGTCAAGAATGTTGAAAATGAGCATGTTCTGGATTGTCTCCTCCTCACCGAGGATTGGGTTAGGCCTAAAGTGAACGCAACTTCTTACATGCCATGTAATGAACATGATAAACTTAGCTTCATGGTTAGTGCCAATGTAATATGGTACTTTCAAGGTAATATAAAATTGACACGTTTTATAGGAGTAGATATGAACATAAGGTAAAAATGACACGTATATAGTAGTAAATACTAATAAAATATTAAAAATATTGTAATTTTTTTTTAATAGGTCCAAATATATGACGAGAAATTCAACGCAAAGATAAAAACTCGTTTGAAACCATGCAAAACTATCTTCGATTTCTGACCATAGATCACCAAATATTACATTGACAGTTGTTGTATTTGGAAGGTGAAGATTGGTAGTCATAACTCATAAGCTATTACTATTATTATCCGATGGGCTTGGAACTTAAAGAATGCGGCAAAATTAAAAATAAATTAGCCTTGGTCCGTAAAAAGGCCGGAGCCCAAATATGGCAGACTTGAAAAATTGCAAGATCCCGGCAAAACGTTTCTAAAACCCTAACTTCTCCCCGCCCGCCCGGTTCGCTGAAAAATCAACGAGGATGGAAGATCAGAACATGGACGACGGCGACCAGAACCGGGAGACGGAGATTGCTCCGGCTCAAATAGCTGTCCACCCGAGTCAAGAGTCAGTTTCCGTTGCCGTGGGTTCAGACCTCCGGGTCTTCAATCTCAGGTACTCCCAAAATCCCAATTCCTTTTCTCCAATTTTCATTGCCGCCATTTTACTCCCGTTATCTAATGAAATGGATACAAAATTGCAGAGAAGGTTTACCGGTGAAATTATCGGATGATGGCCACAGTGATTCGATACGGGCAATTCGTTACGCTGCGAATGGGAAGCTTTTCGTATCAGCTGGTGATGACAAACTGGTTAAGATATGGGCCACTGATTCTTGGCGTTGTGTGTATAATGTGTAAGTTTGAATGACGAAGTTTACCTTTAAGCATCGCGTTTTTTGAGTTTTTTTCAGCTGAAACGCTTGGCCGCCATTTTTGTTGGCAGGGCATCGGAGAAGCGGGTTAGTGCGGTTGCCATAAGTAATGATGGATTATTTGTATGTTTTGCCGACAAATTTGGCGTAGTATATGTTGTGGATACACGAGCATTTACCGAAGAAACCCCGACTTCAATCATTAAGAAAGGAGTACCGATTCTCTCCCACTATTGTAGCATTATTACTAGCTTGGTATGTAGTATTTCGAGTTCTTCTGTTTTTTTTAAAAACAATAAAAATTTGGGGGTATATTACATTCATATTGATTTACACTCGATAAAGATTTATGTGCAATGAAAATTTAGTTTAAGTCTTTGGCAAGGTCTAAAACTGGATAATGGGCACATTTTATACTCTGGAAATGGCCTTCTGCACTAAAGAAATATGATGTTATTGGTTTTCATGTAACTATCTCATACAGGAATTTTCACCAGATGGGCGGTTCATTATTACTGCTGATCGGGATTCGAAAATCCGTGTAAGATAACTTACTTTGATAAAAGAAAATACTATGATTGACTCCTTGCGCTACCGAATTGTCATCTCGTGCTTAGCCCTTTTAGTTATTCTTTCTGGAATGACAGGTGACTGTGTTTCCCCAAAATTCCTTGAATGGAGCTCACGAAATACAAAGTTTCTGCCTGGGTCATACAGAGTAAGTCTCTAATTAACTACCATCCTTCACATTTATTTAGATGATAACTTACTCAAGTTTGGAAGCTATCATTTACTTTTGCTTATACATGGATTTAAAAAGACAACTGGAGGTTATATATGTATCCTATCATTTACCTGTTTTCACATGTCTCTTCAGGTTTGTGTCTTGTCTTGCCTTTGTTTGTAATCAAGAGTATCCTCAGGGATTTTTAGTCTCTGGAAGTGGTGATTCAACTGTGAGTTTTCTCTATTTTTTGTGATTTCTGTGCAATGGATTTTGTCAAAGGTCTTTTAAGAAATGCTCATCTTATTGTTTACTCTTAGGTCCGTTTATGGGACTTCTCCTCCGGTTCTCTTCTTGACACCTGTGATGTTGGAGCAGAGGTAGCAAACTCTTCCACCCTTGTAATGTTTCACATAGCATCCGCTTTCTAACTCAATAGACCTTTGCTGTGCCTTATTTCATCTTCTTTTCTTCATAATTTACTTTTCCTACATTTTGTTTATCTTGTTTGTGCTTCAAAGCCGTAATGAAATTTCGAGTCTAATCTACTTGTGCTTTTTACAGTAATTACCCTGTTTCCTTTAAATGGATTTCTCACTTTTGACTTGTGTCTTTCTTCTCTTGCTTCGATTTGATGAAGGCTGCATTTGCTGATCGGAAAGAAGAGGAGGGTCTGCTTCCCATTACTGACCTATGTACCGTTCAAGATGGGTCACTAGTTGCAGTGGCCATACAGAGGCAAGTTTCATGTTGTGTATCTATTTGAATCACTTGTGTGTTGTGATCAAACGTTTTGAAGTAATTCCATTTATTTGATATTGTAGCTTGACAGGGATTATGCTGTTGGGCTGTGACCTTTCAAAAAGAAATCTCTCTGTTGTGAAAGTGAGTAGCATGACTCATTTCAATTGCTCAGCCTTATAAGGTAACGAATTTACAGGAGACTTGGAGACTGATGATACGCTCTCTTTTATTCCTCCCCCTTCAATCAATCTATAGGTGGTTTCCATTGCCGAAGAGACTTACATCCCTACGAGCATAGGATCTGCCTCAACAGCAGAATTGTTATGGATGGTCATGGGTGCGTCAAGCTTAAACATTTCTGATATCAAATCTTTGGTCAGGATTAGAGTTCTCTCCGGTTTCAGCAAATGTAATGCAGCATCTGTTGAAACTTTGGTCCTGGAAGATAAAGATACTCCAGGAGGGGAGCAAATGCTGCAAACATTGCAAGGTAAATTATCAGTAGAGAAAGAAGCCTTTTCATCTGCTGCTGAGGCAGTAAAAAATTCCATGCGGAATCTCTTAATCAAGAAACAGTACTCTGCAGAAAGACGAGACTTTAGAAAAAGAGGCAGGAATGACATAAAAAACAAGGCAAAATGAATACAGGAACAAATTTGTAGCTGGTTGAGAGGATATTCGGAATGTAGCATACAGATAAAAAATAAAAAAAAAAGATATGATTATCCTTTTATGCATGATTGTATCTCTAGGATTGATGGTTTGAATCTTTGTTTATGTCACAAAGCTGTTTTAGTGGACAATTTTAATTAATTTTCTCTTTATATGAGAATTTTACTTGTCTATCAAAATTATGTCCATAAGTAATGGACGCAAGTTATTGATCGCTGTTCTGCTTGATCATCAGTGATCTAAAGACTAAATCGATGTGATTGAACCTGAACACTGTATGGGAATGTGACTTCCATTGTAAACATTTTCTGTCATCCTAAAATGAGCCAAATCAATGAATCTAGCACAAGTGAATTTGTACCACATAACCTTACACTACTAAATGATGATTTTGTTGATGGAGTGAGTATTCAAGATATCTGCATTGTTTTAAATATCCTTTTTTTTTACGTAAAATTTATATCAAGATCATATACTTTTTACTGTAAATTAATTGCTAGTTTTTTTTAACTTTATCCTTCAATAAATGGTAGCTCATTTTCCTATTACGCGGAATTGGGATTGTGCATTATTTTTTCATGATTTCAACTTTTTTTGATATTCTACAGTCATATCGAAATCATTTGTAGCTCATCAAAATTTAACAATATATTGGAGCAAAATTTTAAAATGTTTGTATAAACCCTAGTGAAATTCACATGAAGATCATCTTTTCTGCAACACAATCCTTTTTCAAAAAAAAAAAAAAAAAAAAAGCAACAAAATCCTAGCTTACTTGTGTATTCATGAGTCAATCTAAAATTAGGAAATTATAAATCAGAAGTACAATTGACAGGTGATAGAGCTTCAAATTAATATAGCAGGAGAAGAAAAAAGCGAGCTGGGGGTGGTCTTGGTAATGATAATGTGGAGGATAAGAATTAAGAAGATGGATCCCAATGGGTGGGCATACCCTCCAAATCCCAATCAATCAATCAAATCCTGCTTAGCTAAATAACACAGCCAGCAACAGCAAAGAAGGTAATAAATAAACGACAAGTTTGAAGCGTGGCACCTGATGACCCTTTTGTTGTTGTAGGTTTGAATTGATCAATTGATATTTTTTACGTGAAAAGAAAGGTGTCATTTCGTGAGAGAATTTGGGCTGTGTTGGAGCGGTTGAATTGTACAAAGTAGGATCAATCGTTTTAGTTCTCCAAGTCTATTCTAATTTGAATATTATAAATTATTATAAAGATTAACGTGACATCGGATTTCATATTTTGAGACCGTTTCTAACACCTACTTCATTGCATTTGATATTTAGAGAGATTTTGAGAAAATTTTCTCCAAAAAAAAAATAAAAATAAAAATAATCAGATAATATATTAATATCTGTCCCATAGTTTTTTCTCATGATTTTTTCATAATAATATATTAATATATGTCCCATCCCAGCATACTTTTTTACATTTTCAATACACTCTTTTACATTTTCAATACAAAAAACATCAAAAACCACATTAAAAAAACGAAACAAACATACAAGGTGTCATGTTTGGTTTCCTTTTTCTTATTTTTGCTCATAATTAGGTAGGCATCGGCATCAAGAGAGGAATTTTCGTGGTAATATTTACTCCAAGTTCTTGTCATTCTATTTCTAATCAAGCGGAAAAATGACATAATTCCACTTGGTACACCATTATCCTAGTAATAATTAATTAGATTGACGAAGCCCTACGCCCCCCACTAGTAAAGGGACAAAACCAAGTCATAGCTGATAACCACACTCCTTTATCCTGTGCATTATTTTTGGCGGAAAAATAAAATCATGGGGGCCAAGATGAACCCTTTCTTGATTGATCTCCAAATGTCAAATAGAATTTGTTAGGCGTCAAAGTTGTAAAGCAGTTTCTCCATTTATCATTATCTTTAGTTATGGCTGCTTGGCTGGTTGGTGTTTTCACTATTCAACTACGTAAACTGAATATGGGGGGAATTAAGTAAGTGATTTTCGTGTGTGTGATGCGAGAGTTATATGATAGTTTCTTTGCTGCGATAAGTTACCGATCCAAAAAAAAAAGTAGCTTACTCAAGTGGATCAAATTAAACAATTAGTGAAATCTGTTTTTTTTTAAATCAATTTTGAACATTTATTAAAAGAATATAAAAATAAAATATTTGATTATTTTACATTTCAAGCTGGAGGAGACGGGTTTCAAACGGTCGAATCGGCGTTGCTGAAACACACTGGCCCGGAACTGGGTTGTACTCCTATAATAATATCCACAACATTCATCGGCCGGCAAGCAGAGAGAATCCAGAAAAGAAATGGGCCCCAAAAAGTGAAGGACATGGGCCAAAAATGTGGGGCCATAGGATTATAGTGTGGTGGAGGATGGGGAAAAAGACAAAACCTTTGTTAACGTCAAAATCAAAGTTCCTGACAGGGGCACGCTATAACATGAAATGTTGGGCCCTGAATGGACTTATTTCCTGGGCACTGTAGGGGGCCCCTTTCAATTATTTTTGTGATTGGATTCCACCAACTATATATGTATAGAACTTTATTTTAATCCTAATTGATGGCCATTGCTTTCAGCCATCCATCTTGTTACAGTTTAGTTCGATTAGCCGTTCTAACGCTGAAATACGTTTTGTTATTAGATCAAATCTATACACTCCCTCTTCCGTCTCATAATGATTGTGCAGTTTTCATTTATAGTTCAAATTACACTAAAAGTGAGATTTCAAATTGAACAATAATTATGCGATGGAAGAAATAACAGATTGTTGTAGTTCCATCCATATTGCACCTTACGTGGTAGTAATTCTTTATTTGCTTCTTTTTAGTGTAAATTATTAGTGATTGTGACAACAACCAAAAAAAAAAAAAAAGAGTAAACCAATGTTCAATTTGTAAAATTTGAACCAAAAAATAAAAATAAAAATGATGCAATTACTCTTTAGACATTATTTTTATTTTCTAATGTAAAGTAGAATGAAATCAATCCTTGTAACTCAAATTTTGGTATTCAGTTCGGTCTTCAATCTTTAGATTGTAGAATGTGATTATCACAAAAATGATTTAGTTCATTTTTGAAGAAGGCAAGGCAAACCTTTTGATCCTTGTATGAATAAGGTAAGTTTATTGGTCCAATAAGCTTATATATATGCACGTAAATATGACACCATTGGCTACTTTGTACTTAATACTTCATTTCATGGCTATCTTATTCTCTCTTCTTCTACCTTTTCTGCACCGTATTGCTTTTCTCCGTTGATTACAGGAAAGCTACATTACTTATATATAATGGTTGGCAAAAAGTTAAAATTATCTAACACGCACACGCACACACACACACACACAATGGAAGTGTGTAAAAATGGAGTTATGGAATTACAGACTAGTTTCCTTTCCTATCCTGACCTTTGACTGGTCTAACTCCTTAAAGCCACATCAGCAGCCAGATTGAGAATATCATTAATTTATTCATTTATTTCACATCGTCCTAGTCAAACAAAGTGGATAAGCATCACAAATAATTTTTCTTTTTTGTTTATTATTTACCACTGCACTCCCTTTATTTTTTTTTAAATTCAGAAACAAACCAATATATAATTAAAGTTTAAAAAAAAAGAAAAAAGAAGAAGAAGAAGCCGCAGTAGTAGTTTTAACTTTTACTTCGGATTGGATTTAGGACCACCAGATTTTACTTCACGTGGGTTAATCTGGAGTGACATACAGTGAATCTGAGGGGCTTAAATATTCGCCGTACGACGTCGTAGATGGTGATAATGCATCACCAGTATGGTGGCCGGTACACTTTCAGCGGTCAGTATGCTCAGTTTCAGAGATCTGCCAGATTAGCCTTCAAGTGCGTGCAGATAGAACGAGAAAGGCATTGCGTCATCCACCACCATAAACTATACTAGTAACATTTACTATATTTTTTTGGTTATATAAATAAATTACTGTCAGATTTCCTAATAAATAATTTCTACATTTATTTCATTAGATTTTTCCCAGTCATTAAACACAATTTTAATATTAGAGAGTCACGAGCAATGTTTACTTAAACCCATTTTATCGTTCATCTATCAACTTAATCACGCAGAAGATCCACTTTTTTTTTTCTTTTCTTTTTTTTTTTTTAATACAAAAGGAGGCGTTACAAAACATCTAGCGAAGGAGGCCTCTTTTTATTAACATGAAAGATATGTTGGCAAAAGTTTAGAAATAATTTTCCAAATACATTTTGAGAATATCCATTTTCCAAATACATTTTCCAGTAGAAGAGGCAGAATATCCATTTTGATTTTGTTTAGTTGAGTTGAAATCCTATCACGTCTACAAAGCAAAAAAGATAATTAAAGTGACGCACTCAATTTTCTTACCTTAATTGCTAGTATTTTTTTAAAAATATATATGTATATATATATATAGAAGGACTCAATAACGAATAAGTATTTTGTGGGAATATTCTACCACTTAATTAATAAAAAGAAAAAGGAAAGAAAAAGAAAGAAAAGGTCTTTTGTTGCTATTTTGGTTGACAAGCTAAAATTTTTTCATGACGAGGAATATTTAATACTTCTTTCACTCAGAATAATTATGTAATTTAGATTTTAATTATATTATAATCTATCTTGTATGAATAGTAAAAATCTAAACATGACAATTATTTTATGTAAAAAAATATTCAGTATCATTGTCATGGTGACCGCATTGTTACATAAACGTTATTGTTGTTATAAATACTTATTGAGTATCTTAACTATTAATTATTATTATTGTCATCATGATCTACTGGCCGGACGCGGTTAATATGGGAACAATGCATTTAAAAGGTTATTTTTTCTTTAAATTTCTCATTAAATCCATGATGAATTACGTGGTGAATTATACATCTGCAATATTTCAACATAATGCATCTCATTTTAATACTTCACTAATTTTAATATAAATTTTAAAATTTAATTTAGACTATTTTTTTTAGGACAACGAGATATTATTTATTTACGATGAATTAACAATTTGCATTTGAATACATTTTATTTTGAATGGTGGAGTAAAAGTTTGTAAGGTGAATGTTATCGCATTTTCTTATTGTAAGGAGTTGGGAGCTGGAGTTAATTGTGTTGTTGTCATCCCGAAATTATTGTATAGTTTGGATTTTCACTTTTAAAATAAATCGAACTTAAAATAAAAATTCAAATTGAATAATAATTTTGGAACCGATAAAATATCCCTATTATCTATTACTGTCCTTTACAGAGTAATTATTTTGAGATGAAAATAATATTGTTTGAATTCGATAAATACGATTATTCTATTGTGTGGACAAAAAAATACAAACACCTTGGAGGTACAATATTGATTGTTTGGATTAAGGAAAGAAAAAACAAACATGGGATGAAAATTTCCAAATAATCACGGAACTGGATGTGGGAGTAAATCAAATACGGTAATTAAATAATAACCTTCAGCTAGATTAGCCAACCAAATAATTGTTTCTTTTTTAAAAAACTCCACATTGATTCAATTATTCCCCACAACACACGCCATAAGCCAATTTGCCAATCCATCAAAACCATTTCTTCTTCCTTTTTCTTTTTTTTTTTTTTCCTTTTAAAAAGCCACCAAAACCCCTGGCTTGTCTCCCCTTACTTCATCATCTTCCCCCCCTCACTTTCTGTCCATCTTTCCTCCCTTTGCATATGATTTTTTTTCTCTTTATGCACATGTTTTGAGAGCACAAACGATTCCCCCTTTAATTTCCACAATCATTATATCTGCTGCTTTCCTGTGACTCTCCAATTTGGAATTTTTATTTTAAAAAAAAATAATTTGTGCTCCTTTTCTTTTTCTCTGCACAAAGTTAAAATCCCTGATTAGAAAATGGAAGTGATCCATAATTTGTTGTTATTGAAATAGAAAAGTGAACTGGGGAGAGAAGAAAAAGAGGGATTTACATTGTTAGAACGTTGGCCTGAGCTATAGGTGGTTTTAAGTTCCATCACTTCCCAAACATGGAAGCTACAGAGATTTAGCAGTTCCTTTCTCCATATTTCTGACTTATTCTAACTTTTTTTTTTTTCTTTCCTGTTGGGATTTTTTGGATCTTTGTGAAGGTTGATGCAGACTGCATAGTGGTTCCAAATACTACTTCTTTTGATCTAACATCCTTTAGATATTAGGAATTTGATTGGATTATGCATCCTTGATTTTTTTTAATTTTTTTTTTTTTGTGCTTTGTTGATGTGAATTGAGAATTGTTTTTATTGTTCCTATTTTTTGTTTTTGGCTTTGGGAAATTGCTTGATTAACAATAAACATATATAGATTCTAATGCTAAGAAATAGATCTAGAGTGATGACTGGAAAGCAAGCTTCTTTGCCTTCTCCCACCCAACAAAGTCAAATTAGCAGCAATCCAGTTCCATCTTTCTTGGCTTCCCCAAGGATTTTCAATGGTTTATTGGCTAGAACTCTCTCGGAACCTGACTCTGCTGTTATGAGTCCAACCTCAATCCTTGATACCAAGCCATTCTCCAATTTTGTCAATCTCCCAATTGGGCATGATCAGAATGTGTTCAGCTCACCAAAGAAGAAGAATCTCAGTTCTTCTTCTTCACCAGAAAAAAACCACACGTTTGAGGAAGTAGATGGTGTTAAACTTGGATTAGCCTTAGTCAATTCTCTGAGTAATGAGAGAGATGACACCCCATTATCCAATAAGCTCAGTAACAACAAAAAGATGATTCTTTTTGGGTCTAAGCTGAAAGTTCAAATCCCTCCGGTCCAATCCGGCTCAACGCTTTCGCCGGCGTCCGACCCACCAAAATCTCCGGCAGATTTTGGGATCAAGACGAGGAATTCTGTTTTATTGTGTACTCCTCAATCTGGGTTCGGATCTCCAATGAAGGCGAGGAATTCTCCCCGTGAATTAGCAGATGGGCTGTCCTTGAGAGAGATGGAGCTTTCTGAAGATTACACTTGTGTGATTACTCATGGACCTAATCCCAAAACAACCCATATATTTGATGATTGTGTCGTGGAGAATTGCTGTGGAGTTGTCAGGTTGTCTGAATTGGGGAAACAGAGTGGTGATACTTTTTCATCTGCTGATCAGTTGAATGGATCATCATTGCCAATGAATTTCTTGGATGCCTGCAATTCTTGCAATAACAGTCTTGGAGATGGCAAAGATGTATTCATGTACAGGTCAGTTCAGCACCTTTTTTTTTACCATTGATTTCTCCACTCAAGTTTGGTGCATTTGTTGAGATCTCTATTGAATATTTGAAATGAGTTAATCATTCAGTCCTCCTGTTTTGCAATACTAACATTTTCAGTTTTCTGTCTTCTTTTAACCCCAATAACTCATAAGAGAATGGTCATAATCGATTGTAATGATTGCATGTAAAATTACTGAATATACTTCTTACCGTCTAATGATAACATGTTTGTTTTGTGGTGTAATTATTTGCAGGGGTGAAAAGGCATTGTGCAGTAACGAGTGCCGCAGCCAGGAAATGATTGTGGAGGAGGGAAATGAAGGATTTTGAGAATTAAGACGACGATGATGATTTACTGATTGATGAAAATCAAGTTATATGAACATTTTTAAATTTTGTATGTTACTCTTCTTCATTGGTTCTCTAAGTGGAACGAACATAACGAAAGAAGATAGCAAGTTTTTGCACAAATCTTTGACTACTGGTCATTGGAGGATCCGATTGTGAAGTGTAATCTAGTACATAAGCCAATAATAATAAAAACTCTTTAATGTCCAATTGTACGTATCCTTCAAATTTGTGGGGTTTTATTTTTTCAACTCAGTCCCTTCTCAATTATTTGTAACTTCTAAAATCACATAATAAAATGAGGGGTGAATGCTGTGATGACGCAAAAGATAATGTAAAAGTATTTGGTAAACCATGTATTGAAGCCATTGATTGTGTTCTAGACTTCTTCTTGTGTGATATCTTCTTTTCTTTTTTTTTAATGTATTTGGTTATAAGAGTCATATTTTTACAAAATTAAAATAGTTCGATAACTAGGACTTTATTTGGGTTGATTGGAGTATAATCAAATGGATAAAATAAAAGACGTTAAACAAAACTTGCAAAAGATTTGAAACAATGGGCTCGAATGTGTTCAATAATGCCAGTGGTGACGTGTGCCTGGAAACCTTGCACCGCATTAATTGGTTAATTTTTCAAAAGATAAAAAAAAATGATAAGAAATTAATCATATTTATTTATTTTTAATATTTTTTATTCGTATTTAAACGTTTAAAGTTAAGAGATAGTTTTGATGCATGACACATCATTCCAGTAGTGATGTGTGCCTGGAAACCTTCCTCCGCATTAATTGGTTAATTTTCGAGAGAATAATGAATCATGATCATACTTTTTTATTTAGATTTACCAAAATATTCACCAGCCTTCCGATGGTTTGGCATTATAAACATGGAAAAGTTAAAGTCAATGGAGACGAAGCTCGAAGGGAGAATAAAAAGAAGAGGATATTAGTAGTTTACTTCGTTAGTTCGTTTGACTTCCAATCCTTTCAATGCTGAGCTACTCTTCCCAATTATACTAGAAATTATTCAGTACACTTGTTGTATAACGTTAGTATAAATCACATATAGTTATGAAGAAATCTACAATTTTAAGGGAACCTGATTCAAATTCATGAAGACTACAAAAGTGATTAATTGTTTATCGTTAATGTAGATTGGTTTGTTGTACTGTAAAATATGATACAACTAGTACTTAGAATATTTTCTCTATACAATTACACAATTGTACTTTCACCTATGAATGAGTCCTTGCAGTTTTTGAAATTTTGGGACAAAGAGCAGAAAGAAAAGTTAGGTTACCACTCTAACCTGTTGGAGACGGAGTTCCACATTTTTTCCATAAGTAGTACTCTCTCACGTTTTTAATATAAGGCATTTTGATTTGTCTTAGGTTTCAATTAATGTACTATATCTTTAATCGACAAAAAAACCTTAAAAATATATTTTCACATTTGTTGTGATCTCTTGATTGTTATGAACTATTTTTAAAGTATTTTTGTCAATTACAAATACGTACTAGATTAAAATTAAGACAAATCAAAATGTATTATATTACCGAGCGGAGGGAGTAGTTAATTAGGATTACAAACATAAAGCATCAAAATGGAATTGAACCATCAACAACTTGACATCGAAACCGAAGTGAAGCAAGAGAAGGGCTGAACTTTAACCTATCATCTTATAACCTTAAACTAGGTAATTCAGGGAACGTGATCACAAGTGATCATCCATTGGTTGGTTAGATTACCAAAATTTCACCAGTCTTTAGATGGTTTAAGATGATAACCATTGAAAAGTGAAAAGTCAATGGAAATATAGCTGAAAGGGGAAATAAAAAGAAGAAAAAACTAGATATAAGTACTTCGGTTGACCTCTAGTAGTCTAGTCCTTTTTCAACTTTAAGCAAGTCTTCCCAGTTACAATAAAAATTTAAAAAAGGAGCAGACTGCGTTTTCAAGCTTCAGCTATAAAACAGGTCCCGTCAGTTGTGAAATTTTGGGTCAAAGATTAGAATAAAAGTTAGGTTAACACTCTTACCGGTTGGAGGTGGACCATAAGCAGTATAAGTTGCTAATGTAGGATTAATGATGATTTGTTGTTGAACTTAGATTTTGCATGTCATGTGACACAATTATTCACTCCATTTTTAAAACTAGTCACAACTAGTCAGTTCAAAACTGAATGCCATAACAAGGATTTTCATTTTCACCGACTATGTGGGAACTTACTTGAACTGTGACATTTAAAAGGATGGGTAATGAATTAAAAGAACAATTCTCTAAAAGAAGCATAAACAAACAGCCTTGAAGCAAAGCAAATTGATGGCTACCCGATACGTTCTACCTCAAACAGAAACAATATCCAGAAACCAAAGCAATCACAATAACGGTGACATGATAAAGGGAGATTCCCACTACTCCTGCCAATATGAACTTTCAACCCCCATCGAAGCAGCCAACAATATGATCCAAATACGAGTACCAACTTTTGCTGTGTAGTTCAAAAGAGAATCCTATTTAACACTAGTTTTCAGTACCACTTCCTCACATATGCTTTCAAACTAAATAAATCATGTCCATATGCTAGTAAAACCAATTCTTGGCAGATATGAACTTTCCAAAGTTTTGGACTGTGCCATTAAAAGATCAATATCAACCTGCCCCCTTACCGAGCTCACAAACACAATGAATGATGCTCAACAATCTTACGCTAGGTAATTTCTTATGCCTAAAACGCGGCACCATAAAGTCTGCAAATAAATATAACACCCTGGTATAGAGCACAGATACTTCAGGCTACTTCCATGGTGGAAATAAATCCCAGAGAATCAAATTTTATACTAAAAGGATGCCGAAGAATTATATCATAGACCACTGCAACCTTTAGCATTTTGATCATAAACAAGACATTCGTATACGAAGAGACTCCTTTGTCCATAACAGTTAGAAATTCAACACATAATGTAGATTGTAGAGCATGTAAGTGATCAGTAACTAGGCTAAACAAGGAGCCACATTACATGGATCACCTCTACTCTACACAAGAAACTAAAGAGACAATAAACCATAACAATACTAAAACAACCGTCAACCCTCCAGCAGGAAGCTCCTCCATGCAGCAGTAGCTTTACTCAACACAAGCCTTTTACCAAAACCAAACAACTTGGACAAAATGACAATAGAAAACATGGGTAAAACGCTACTTAGAAGAAATGCCTCGAAACAGAGAGCACATCTGGTCCACAGTAGCCTTTAACCAAACAACCCCCACCCCCACCCCCAACGAGAAAAAGAAACTGACTAAAGAAAACGAGTGGTGCATGGGTGCTAGTTCAGAATGGGCTTCCTCAACAATCCCTCATCCATAGCTCGATTCACCAGAACTGGCAAATATTAAACAAGTGTTGTGAGTTAGTATAAAACTGATACAAACATAAATTGCAAATAATATGAAGCTTAAGTATAACTTACCTTCTGAAGCTTCGTACAAACAACCATCTCCAACAGCAAACTACCATATACATGATAGTGTGAAGCTACTTGCATAGACTGATTTACTGATCCAACAACTGATTCATTCTAAACTGAAATGTACAGCGGAAGCAGAACAAAACTAACCTACAACCCTGCCCAGTTTCTCTTTCCAAAAACTAGAGAAACTGGAACGGGTAGCTGAAGCTTTGCTTTGCAAAGCAAAGACTAAGCATTAGACTCTATAATTGAAGGTAAAAAGGTTTTAGAAAAAGGTAGCTACAGGATAGCTGTGACAGGGAAATTGTAGCTACAAACCTACACAAAGGATAGGAAAGAGATGAGAAGATGAAGAAATCCCGAGGGAACAGGAAGGATTATCTAAGTAAGACTAGAACAAACAAACCCTATAAGCACCTAGGCAGCCGAAGTTAGGACCCTACAATATAGACAATATGAGACAAGACTAGGAAATTACTCCAGCCAAAGGGAAAATGAACAAACAATTCAGTGAGGCACACTAGAGGGTTCATACCATCATTTCTGATAACTAAAATATGCCTCCTCAGTCCCCACACCCAAGGGATAAGCCGAGCTCTCAGCTTCATATAATATATACCAGCCTACCACATCAAATTTCCAGTCAAGGAGACCCCATTCTGTTGCAAAGGCACTCAGCACCACCATTTATCACATTTTCTAGCAGCATCCAAACTACGAACCCATGTCTTACCAGACAGTAGTATCAATCTTCACATGTCTGGAGATTGTTGACCAAACACGGCACCCTTACTCTTGCACAACTGATTCAAACCAACAGGTAACATAAAGCTACAAACTTCAAGCCACAACCCTGAGACAAGCTGCAGACTGATTTATTTTACTAGTATTTACATCTAGATTCTACTATTGATCCAGCTAAGAAAAAGTAACTTCCTTATTTACAGGAGCATTGCTTGCTCCCGGTGTTCATTCATTCATCTGTTAGATCAAGATTGAGGATGCGACGAAGGGTCTTGGTCGCAGAATCAACACCATCAATACCATCATCAAACATATCACTTGGGGAGGGGCTGCGTTCCCGCCTAGGAGAAACAGGGGCAGACTTGGCAATGGGGCGGAAGTCAATATCAGAGGCTGTAGAGGGCAAGTCAAGGGAAACAGTTCTTTTGGGACGGGCAACAGAAAATTTGGGTATTGGAAGAGAACTAGGAGGTGGAGAGTTTGAATATGCTGGGCCAGCCCAGCGTTCTGCAAAACTAAGATCAAACCCACTGTTCAAAGAAGCCGACTTTCTGGAACCAACACCCACTTTCAGCTTAAATGGTATAGGTATTGGGCTACTCCTGACCGGTCTCTTCGACTTCTTAGGCTCCTCAGAATGCGAACCAACTGAAGAATACGGTGGTGGCGAAGGAGACTTTTGGAAAGGAGAACGCGAAACAGCCTTTTTAGCTACAGGAGATGTTAATGAATTAAATGATGGGGTTGGGAGTATCCCCGAACCAGATTGAAAAGTACGGCAGTTAATCCCCCGAAAACCCTTAGAAGGAGGCGACTCGAAGGAACCATATCGTACTGGTCCACTGTTTCTGCTTCTACTATAGTACTGATTCCGATGATGAGCAACAACAACAAGAGTTTCCATTGCTACCAAGCTTCACTATCGTAATTCCAACAAACCAATATTACCCAAACAACAACTCAAAAAGATCACTGAATCAAAGCACTCAACCAGTTAAACGATCAGGCGTCAGTTTCAAATGCTAGAAATGAATGAATCACCAACAGAAGCTTCTAGATCTTCGCCACAACCACCAGAATCGAAGTAGATCAACATCAATTTTATAAATCCCAAACCAGACACAGAACATGTATTTCCTATAAAATTTCCCCCTGTCCACAGACACCAATTCACACTCTTGGCCTGCTTCAGATCTATTCATTTTTTTTTTCCCAAAAAAAAAAAAAACCGAACAAATCACCAAATGAAACACAGCCCAATAAATTAATCAAACACAAACCGATTAATAAAGCGGGGAAACCAATAAAAATGAAAAATTACCTGAAGAGTGGAAACAGTGCTAAAGTGAAATCATCTCCCAGTCGATGGTCCAGTTCAAAGGCGTAAATCTTTTTGTATATATTTTTGCTAGTTTTCCTTTGTCCTTTTGTAATTTTCTTGTTCTATATATGCATACAAATCTATGTTTAGATACTGGTAAAAAGGGTTTGGATTCAGAACGAGGCCATTAGAGAGCACAGCTTTTTTGAACAGAGTAACCCCGGATCTGAAAACCCACTCAGAGTTGTATTTAATTGTTAGGGAGCGTGCGTGGAGGAGAGAGAAGACAAGCGAGTGGGCGAGTGGGGAGATCTTCTTTTTAGCCGATATTATTTGAGTGTGTTTTACGTTATTAGCCTTGATATTTATCCCTTCTTACTGATATGCCACTGACACTATTTTATTAGTATTTTATACTGTACTATTTTTTTATCTGTCGCTGTCTGAACATTATCTATATATATATATATAGGTTAAAATGGACCGGTCTGGACTGGAGTTTTAAGGACTTGTCAGAAATGGATCTGGAGTTTGGTCGTTTGGACTGTCAAATGTTTACTATTTTAGTGCACAGGACAAAATTGAAGTCCAGAATTTAATAATATAAAGAAAAAGAATTTGATAGAAAGTCTTTAGAACCGATGAAGATAGGAATTAGCAAATTACGTGAAGAACAAAAAAAGGGTCACATTGAAAAGTTGATAAAGAAAAGTGCATATATAAAAACATTCGAGTACAAGTAGGGCGAAATGATCATAAGTTTCGTCACATATCATAACCTTGCAAAGAGTGAGCATAATACGTGTAGAAATACTACCTAATTTTCTATAAAAAGAAATTAGAGTACCTTTATTAATGTTTAAAGAAACAGAATGGGTGTGGTTTGCCCATCCCCCTTTCGTCACTGCTAATAATGAACAGTTTTTAGACAATGAGTTTATTTTTTTTTTATTATTGGTTGGGGCCTTTGGGATACTTTACTCGAAGGATTTTTATTTTATTTTTGTATCAGCTCCCATTCCTTATTGCAAAATACATAAACAGACAGATTTTGCAAGTAGTATGCTTCTAATTTTTGCTTATCAATTAAACCAAACCCACTGAAACGTTAAACCTACCTCACTTTCTTCAAACAAAATTGTTGAAACAACTTCTCCTCGTGATTTGTTTGGTTTTATATAGTAACATATTCATTTATACAAAACAAAAAAATGAATTTACACAATTCCAGTATGACTTTCTAATGTATATAGTAACATATATACATACTTTTATATCAATATATTTACATCTAGTATTGTGATTTTATTGTCCATTTTACTAGGTATGATATAGGCAGACGGGATCAGTATTCAATTTTAAGTGACGCAACGGGATCAGTATTCAATATCTATCAACGAGAATTTTAACACCTCTTCTCAAACCCCCTTTACATCATTGAAACTTTGTTTTGAAGCCCATTTCAGGTTTGATTTTTATTCGAGGGTCCATTTCGTTTTTTTTTTCGGTTTGTTTGAAGGCGCATCTCAGATTTGGTTTATTTGAAGACCTATATAATCACACGTGTAATACCACCTCAAAACAAATGTCATGCCTCTTGGGGGAACCCACCTCAAAATCTAGTTTGTGATGGGGAAAAATCCAATGACATATAAACCGCACACCAGTGTTATCCGACATCAATATAGGATTCAAGCAACTATCATTATATACCACCACGTTTCCGTTCCGACGTTTAGGCGGTTGCACTCTAGACAGCTTCACTCCGGGACAAGTACCCCTTTTCATGGCGGCTTCATTTCGCAGGTAGCCCTTTCCTCCGGCGACTCACACTCTGCGTGACTCCGGGTAACCCTCTTCTAGGTAGTGACAAACCGTCGTCATACTAGTCAAATAATTAATTACCTACTTAACACTATACTGGTAGTAAAGCAGAAAGTAGGGTCGATCCCATAGAGAAGGTTACCAAATACCAGGTCAAACTATTTTTTATTATTATTTCGATTAATGATTTATCATATTTTATACTAACATAAACTAATAATTAAATTTAATCTAAGATTTAAACAATTAAATAGAAGAAAACCTAGGGCGAAGGGTTCACCTACAGACTACTCAATTTAACTCAATTTATAGATACGTGACTTTGGACATTCATTAATCTCACAACGATTCATCTATTTAAGAACTATTCACTGTCGTAACATAATTCTATTACTTAAACTGACCCTATGACTATTGTCGTGACTATAGTGATTAATAAAAGTATATTAAAAACTTTAGAATCTCTAGTTGCAAAGGCAGTGTTCCTACTATCGTGGCTCACTACCTAAGTCTAATATTCCCATGAACTAATGCTAACCTTCAACTGTCGTTCCTTCAGTTAAACACCTTTAAAGTATGCAAGTGGTGATCAAATACTCACGTGCAATAAAAATAAGAATTTTAAATATTGATTAAAGAAAAAAATCGCAATCATAAATTAAACTAAATTAAATAGTATGGCGGCTACATCCAAAACTCTAGATTAAAAATGTTTAGCTGCTACACATTATTCTAAAAAATAAATAAAATAGAACGACATAACCCGGGAAAGAAGAACACAACCACTGCTCAAAACTTTGTCCAAATTGCTCCTAATGGCAGCTTCCTTTTCGTGCACCCGGTCCCCCCAAAACAATAGAACCAGCACCTTTTTATAGTACTACTTAGCCTTTGTCGGTGGCTTACTTCTTAAGAAAGAAGAGTGGATCCAATTCTGTAGTGGCCCATGCGAATTAGTTTTATTTCTTCTCGGTTGTAATTGCAGCAAAGGGGCAGCACAAGAGGTCTGTCATGCGCGCCAAAGTTGAGGCAGTGGTGGATTCAAATGTGGAGCATGAACGTTGTCGTTTTGATGGATTCGGTTTTAAGCGGCATTAATTACTCTCATGCAGTCATTAGGTTAATCAGTATATGGTTAATTCAGTTTACTATAAATACTGTAAAGCAATGTTCCAGAAGCATCGATCAGTTCATTTTGTAAACTTTGTTGAGTTGTAATCTTTTTTTTTTATGTAAAATGTGAATTATATTGCCTTCTCAAAACTGTCAAAACGTCACCTATTTACATGCTATATATGACTATTCCCTGTACAACTACCAAGCCAAATAACATTAAATGGAAACTTAACTTTCAAAACTGAACTATTACATTAGCTCTGTCAAGATTCTTTTATCCTTTGTCTTCTTAGCTCTGCATTTGTAGTGACACCTCCATCTAATTTCCTTTTTTATATTTTCAAACACTGTTTCTACTTCACTGTGTTTACCATCATGGAGTTGCTGATTCCTGACTTTTCATATGTAATAATAACCTGCTATAATGAGCGCATATAGGATTCTTCTTTTCAATGGGCTTCTTTTCCACACAAACAACAGTCTCTGCCAGTTTTTCAAATCTGTCCAGCTGCTAGGAAATTTCATCCAAGCACTAATTTCCTTCCATAAATCTTAAGCAAACCTGGAATGCTGAAATAGATGCTCATGGGTTTCATTATCAGAGCTACATAACAGACAACTCTAATCATCAACTGCCATACTCAACTGTTTAATTATATCCCTTGTCATCAACCTGTTTTGCCAACAAAGCCAACCTCCAAAACAGTGCTTGGGAACATTGACCCCATGCCAGTTGATATGTAATCTTGAATATACATTCTTGATTTCTCTCATTTCGAAGATCGGATTCCTCATCGGAGTTCGGTTCTCTTCTTTTATTAAACTTGATTTCCTTTTCCAAAACAGAATTACTTCTGTTCTTGACATTTGGTATCCAGAGCTATAAGGTTCTTGGAGTTAGGGCTTCCAATGGCGCCAACTCGTGTTGTTAGTCCAGCAAACGAGGCGGAAGACGACTTCGCGAATTGGAGGAAAGAATTTCAGGATCAATTGATGAAATCAATGGCACTATCGACGGAATTAGCTCGTCAATCAGCCGAGAATCTTGCGAGGTTGGAGAAGGAGCTACCTCTGAAGATGATGTTGATGTTCGAGGAAAGATTTGCAGCAATTGAGGCGAGATTTACAGGAATGGAGTAAGAGCAAAACACAGGGTTTAGATCGACAAGCTGTGTGGGTAAAATTCTTGATTCTCCTTCTGTTGCTTCGATTTCTGGTATTAAGTCTTGTAAGAATGAAGAAATTGGCAAAAATGTGGGCAAGAATTATAAACAGAAAACGAAGGTTGAAGCTTATGATGAAGAAAGTGATATTAATGAACAAAAGTGGTTAAGAAACCTTGGAAACCAAAACCTAAGGTAGAATTGGCAGTATTTGAAGGGGAAAATGTTCAGAATTGGCTCCGGAAATGCCAAAAATACTTTAGGATGTATAAGATGACTGATGATGATAAATTGGATTCTGTGGAGTATTATTTGGATGGAAAAGCAGATTTATGGTTTCAAAGTTTCGAGAAATGTTATCTAAATGCTACTTGGCAACTGTTTGAGACAGAGCTTTTGAAAAGAGTTAAAAATTTGGACAGCCTTGATCCTATAGAGGAATTTAATAAGCTAACTCAGAAGGGAAGCATCAGTGAGTATTATGATAAGTTCGAGGAGTTGAAATCTCAATTACTGTGTGTGAATCCTCACTCGAGTGAAGCTTATTTTGTTTCCAGCTTTGTCAGTGGATTGAAGGATGAGTTTAAACCATTTGTTAGGTTTATGGAACCTCAGAATGTTTTGAGAGCTTTTCAAGCTGCACAGTCACAGGAAAAGACATTGTCCATAGCCTTGAAACCTAAACTTTCAGTAGCTACTAATAATAAAAGCTTTAATGTTGGGGAAAAAGTAGCTGTGCAAGGAGTTGGGAAGGCTGGTAATGGCATGTTTAAGAGACTGTCACCACAGAAAAAACAGTTCAGGAAGATAAATAACTTGTGTTGGAAATACAATGAGTCATGGGGGCCAGGCCATGTCTGTAAATTGGAACACCTGAATCTGATAATAGTAGAGGATGATGTTGATCTTGAAAATGTGAAATGGTCTGGTAAAACTGTTGAGTTATGTATTGTCATAACTTGGGAATGATTCCTTAGAAGCAGTTGGAGAGGAAGATGAGGATGAGCCAAGAAGATTGATAGTTATCCTTGGATACATCAAAGGAGTACATGTGAGAATTCTAGTAGATACTGGTGCTGTCAGAAGTTTTATAAATGACCAATTAGCTCACAGGTTGGGGTTAAACAGGAAGGTGGTCAAACCTTACTATGTTAAGGTAGCTGATGGCTATAGAATCAAGAACAACATAATCTGTTCTGCTACTCAATGGTCCATTCAAAAGCACCATTTCCAGTTTAATTTTAGAATTATGAAATTGGGATGTG